TCCAGTAACAGGGGATGAAGCACGCCTGTAATTCTTGTACGGCTTGTGTTGGATACTTGTCTGGTCAGAGCGTTTAACGTTTTGGCTAACTCTGCGTGCTCCATGTTAGGCTCAGTTATCCATGTTAGGCTGTTGGGTTTGACAGATGGGGCCCAGGAGGCAGTAGTGAGCCAAAAGTGAGGTACCAATTAGGTATAAGACAATCTCGTAGTCAGGTTAAGCCAAGGTCGGGGACAGGCAGCGCAGGTTCAGGAACGGTATAAGAGGCAGACAGGTACAGGGCTGGATGGAGACAGGATTCACAGAAGTGTATATACCAAACAGCACAGTATAACTGGGCAGTGAGGTAAAGGTTGATTGGGTTTATATAGGGGAGAGGCTTCCACCTCTTACATACTATTGGTTAAACAGTATGTTTAAGCTGTTTCAGATGTTTCGTCCCTTTAAGATGCCAGCTATCGGGTGGGCGCATGCCTAGAGTATGTGGAGTTTACACGTGGGTTCGGCTGGAGCTTCCCGCGCGTCTCAGTGTGGTGTGGGGAGCCGCGGCACCACATCCACGTGTCACAGGGTTGCCGGCGTCTGTCCTTGCGGTCAAACACGTCGGAGTCCTCGGTGTACAGTGAGGGGTAACTGCCGCAGTGGTGGGCGGAGATGCGGCAGGGACCCACAGGTAAGTGTGGTCGTGACACAGGGTGGGATTTAGATTGAACAACGCTTTACCTGGACTTATTTCCAACAGTTGGGGCCCCAAGAAGCTATTTCTCTATGCTCAGAGTCAATCCTGGAGTTATGCTTAGAAAGCCATGGAAAACCCAGTAAAAATTGGGCAAGACAGGGTGGAATTAACTTGAAAAGAAATTTCCATGGTATGTAAAATACTGACATAGAAACAGATGGGATTATTTCACTCAGAGATTATTGGGTTGCAGAGTAGTCTAAAATCTATGGCCTTGATAGTCAATGGTGTCTCTTTTGGATAAGGAAATATGGTGTTCTTTAGCAAATTGAACATCAATAGTATATTCAGCTGTCCCTGAATCCAAATGAGTTAGGATAGGGACTCCGTTAGCTTAGCATTATAGGCAGGAGGAGTCTGGATTGTTTAGGGGACAAAGTACATACACCCAAGGCCTGTCTCTCCTGAATAGCCTAAGGTGCACACATTTCCTAGCCTTATCAACTGTTCTATTTCAACTGTCAAAAGTAAAGACAAATAAGTCAATGGGACCTGATGGAATACACCCAAAGCTATTAAAAGAGCTTAGTGGTGTACTAGCAAAACCATTAACAGATTTATTTAACCAATCATTGTTAACAGGTGTAGTCCCAGAAGATTGGAAGTTAGCGAATGTTGTGCCCATTTACAAGAAAGGCAACTATAGGCCAGTAAGCCTTACTTCAGTAGTGGGGAAAGTGATGGAAACCATGTTAAAGGATAGGATTGATGAGCATCTAAAAACACATGGATTTCAAGATCAGAGACAACATGGGTTTACTTCAAGGAGATCATGCCAAACTAATCTTATTGATTTTTTTGATTGGGTAACTAAAATTATAGATCAGGGTGGTGCAGTAGACATTGCTTACCTAGATTTCAGTAAGGCTTTTGACACTGTTGCACATAGAAGGCTTATCAATAAACTGCAATCTTTAAGTTTGGATTCCAATATTGTTGAATGGGTAAGGCAGTGGCTGAGTGACAGGCAACAGAGGGTTGTAGTTAATGGAATATATTCGAAGCTTGGACTTGTCACCAGTGGGGTACCTCAGGGATCTGTACTTGGACCCATTCTCTTTAATATTTTTATTAGTGATATTGCAGAAGGTCTTGATGGTAAGGTATGTCTTTTTGCTGATGATACTAAGATATGTAACAGGGTTGATGTTCCAGGAGGGATAAGCCAAATGACAAATGATTTAGGTAAACTAGAAAAATGGTCAGAATTGTGGCAACTGACATTTAATGTGGATAAGTGCAAGATAATGCATCTTGGACGTAAAAACCCAAGGGCAGAGTACAGAATATTTGATAGAGTCCTAACCTCAACATATGAGGAAATGGATTTAGGGGTGATTATTTCTGATGACTTAAAGGTAGGCAGACAATGTAATAGAGCAGCAGGAAATGCTAGCAGAATGCTTGGTTGTATAGGGAGAGGTATTAGCAGTAGAAAGAGGGAAGTGCTCATGCCATTATACAGAACACTGGTGAGACCTCACTTGGAGTATTGTACACAGTACTGGAGACCGTATCTTCAGAAGGATATTGATACCTTAGAGAGGGTTCAGAGAAGGGCTACTAAACTGGTTCATGGATTGCGGGATAAAACTTACCAGGAAAGGTTAAAGGATCTTAACATGTATAGCTTGGAGGAAAGACGAGACAGGGGGGATATGATAGAAACATTTAAATATATAAAGGGAATCAACACAGTAAAGGAGGAGACTATATTTAAAAGAAGAAAAACTACCACAACAAGAGGACATAGTCTTAAATTAGAGGGACAAAGGTTTAAAAATAATATCAGGAAGTATTACTTTACTGAGAGGGTAGTGGATGCATGGAATAGCCTTCCAGCTGAAGTGGTAGAGGTTAACACAGTAAAGGAGTTTAAGCATGCATGGGATAGGCATAAGGCTATCCTAACCATAAGATAAGGCTAGGGACTAATGAAAGTTTTTAGAAAATTGGGCAGACTAGATGGGCCGAATGGTTCTTATCTGCCGTCACATTCTATGTTTCTATGTTTCTATGTTATAAACAGGAGTCCCCATTTCCTCCCACAATACATACAGACACATGCAGTATTTTTTTTTCAGTATCTGTGAGTCTGTTCAGGCAAAAGCAACAGTGGTACCTCTTTCGAGGGTGCAGATTCAGTTTCAGTAGAGTTAATGGGTTTTGAATCACTCTTGACCTCATCTTCACCAATTATGCACCACCTCTAATCTCTCCCATAGACATAGAATACATAGACGCCGCACGTCTATGGCATTGCGTGCTGAGCGTTGAGGAATGCGGGCGCCATCTTGGACCGGTCGACGCTCTACTGAAGCTATTGAAGAACCCTTGGAAAGTCCATCTCACAAAAGGTAAGTGAAGGACTTGGGGCACTTATAGTCCTTAATACCCCTACCCCTAGTCCTTAATACCCCTAATCCTTAATATCTCTACAGTGTTAATACCCCTAGTCCTTAATACGCCTACCCCTAGTCCTTAATACCCCTACCCCTACAGTGTAAATACCCCTACCCCAGCACACTATGTGTATTAACACTGTGTGTGTAGGGGTAGGGGTATTAACACTTTGTGTGCTGGGTTAGGCTGGGGTAGGGGTATTAACACTGTAGGGGTATTAAGGACTAGGGGTATTGACACTGTAGGGGTAGGGGTATTAACACTGTAGGGGTATTAAGGACTAGGGGTAGGAGTATTAAGGACTATAAGTGCCCCAAGTCCTTCACTTACCTTTTGTGAGATGGACTTTCCAAGGGTTCTTCAATAGCTTCAGTAGAGCGGCGAACGGTCCAAGATGGCGCCCGCATTGCTCGTCACTCAGCAAGCAATGTGGCGTCTACATATTCTATGTCTATGATCTCTCCTATGTTCCATTTCCTTTTCCTGACCACCATCTGCTGACCTTTGACATCGACATACCCCATACTCAAATTTCACCACCCTTAACTCACCAATCTCGCAGAAACCTCCACTGCCTTGACCTACAGCCATTCTCCACCAAACTCTCCTTTTACCCATTTCAAAGCTCACCTGCCCTAACTCTGCAACCACACTCTACAACTCAATTCTCTACTTTAAGCTAGATATCATGGCACTTCCTACATTTAAACACAGCAAGCGCACCAAATTAAAATCCTGGCACACCAAGCTGATTTGATACCTCCAAAAATGTTCAAGAACTGCTGAACGCTGCTGCAGAAAGTCTCACTCTTCATCTGACTTCTTCCACTATAAATGTATACTGCGCTCCTACAGTCTGGCTCTTTGCTCTGCAAAAGTAAATGACTTCAACACCCTCATAAGCACACTGTCCTGCCAACCCAAATGCCTATTTCACACTTTTAATGCTCTTCTTCAGCCTGTTGCTCCCCCTCCTCCTTCCACCTTGTCCGCCTCAAACTTTGCAACTCACTTAACTGAGAAGATTATACAATCAGAGAAGAGATCTCTAATCTCTCTCTCTCCTCTACCGATGCTTCCCCCCCAAAACCACTCCCTCCGCTATACTATACTCATTCACACTCACTACAGCAGAAGAGGTTTCTGCTCTGCTCTAGTCCTCCCACCCACCACCTGTTCCCTCGATCCAACTCCCTCATATCTCATCTACACTCTGTCTCCTTCTCTTCCTCTCACTAAAATTTTCAATCTCTCCTAAATTCCTTTTATCTTAATATGGTGGCAGTACAAGTTCCCCCCATTACCCTCCCCCAACCCCCTTTTTTTATAATAAATACATTTTTGCAGTATTAGGTTTCTAGTGTTTTATTGTTAAAAACTGTGGGATCTTGAAAGGTTAGTAATTTATACCTAGTGGGGGAGGATCTTTTTATGTTAATTTCTTTCAGATGCTTGTCCCAGGGAAGAGCTCATCCCTAGTGTACTGCCACCATATTGAGGAAAATGGACAAATAAGGGAAAAGGAACAATTCTCCGTATATATATATATATTGAATGTAGAATTACTTCTATGTCCACAAATACCTCCATTTTCATACATTAGACCTAGTCTATACATCTGAAACATATATTCACACAGTGCCTTTCCACAAATACACCAGTTGCAAACGGATTGTGTAAATGAGAAACAGGAAAATTACGGTAGATCAAAAAATATATATATATACATATATATATATATATATATATATATATATATATATGCAAAGAAATATATGCCAGCATTGTTCAGATCACATGGTAAAATGGCATTTTTAAAGGAATGATCTATATCATAAAAATTCAAGCAAATGTGAAATTTCTGTTATTCTAAAACCAGTTTATTTTTGAACATGGACAAGACAGCTTTGTAGTACAGTATGGTAAGTTATATAATCAAATATAAATATATATATAATAGCATAACATGGCAGCATTTATTACCATTAAAGTGCTCGACTAACATTTCAATTCAGAACATGGACTGAAATGCTAACACACATACAATGTACAGGATATCAAGCATGGTATGATGAATAAATACACGACAAGCCTGAAGAAATATCAAGAATGATTGAAGCTATTTTTATTCTAAAAAACTGTTTATTTTTCCATATGAATGACAGTGCTCTGTAGTACATGACTGGTCAATTACAAACACCAATAATGATGTGGTATGACACTGCAGCATTTCTTTACATAAAGTGCTTAATAAATATTACATTCAGCACAGGGCTTGGAATGCTAACACACACTTTAAACTCCTATAGTAATTAAAAATCATGTATTGAAGTACAGAACAGGAAGCATGTTACAATTGATACATATGACATACATTATAGATTGCATTCTGTAAGGATTAAGTGTAACATCTTTAACAAGTTCATTACATGTTTACCATAAAGACTGATAGATTTTATATGCATTTATGAACTATGGGTTTTACTACTACTCACCTTTGTTGCAAAAATAATTCCTGAAACACATGGCACACTTTGGTAACAATTAAGCAAAATCACAGATGAATACAGCTACCAATTTAAATTTTACTGTACCAAGATGTTAATATTTAAAGCAATGCGGATCCAGCACCCACCTTAGCACTTAAGGTGGAACTGTCACTTCCAAAGAAGTGACAGTTTCTTGTTCCCTCACCCCAGTAAATGGTATTGCAGCATTTGCTGGGGGGAATAATGCATAAAGTGAAAAAACTTACCTCTGCCGAACCTCCCCTTTGTTGGCAACAAAGTCGCCCCATGATTCCTCGGGCTTAGTTTAGGCATCTACAGATAAATTCTATAGGAATGCATGTTATTTAGCAGTGCTGTACTTGCACATTCACCTCATGTGTGGCACAGCAAAAGTTAATTGTTTACTTTATATCACAATTTCTTGGAAATTTAGAATGAACCATTAAGTAATTCACATACTGTGTCTGGTGTGCTCAGCACTGCATGTAAATTAAAGTGCATAGAAGTTAAAATAAAAAGAAATCTAGTCAGATTTAAAAATAAGTTAATTGTGCAAAAATCTTGAAAGAAACAATCGTAATAAGCATGCTTAAAACAGACTTTAAAATAAGTGAACATAAACACACACACACACAACTATCTGGGATGCTTTAAAATATCACTAAAGCAGTATTTTACTTATGTGTTCATGAAACACTTAAAATATGGTAAATAAAATTACCACTCACTTTAAGTCTGGATCAAAACAACAAAAAGACACCAAGGGAATTTTGCTAGACTGTGTTTAAAAAATATAAACGTAAAATTCAGCTTGTGTAATAACACTAAATATTCAGAAACACAGGTATAGCCAGAAAAAAAGTATATATAATATAAAGCCATCTACTTAATTTTGAAGAATACATTTTGAAGTATTTATCTAAGTTGATGCAAATCTTTCAAAGAAATCTTAAAAAACAAAAGGTTTCACAAATAGAATCCACAAAAAACAAAAACAAAAAAAACACAACTGTGCTGGCTTTTCAAAAACATGTGTGGGTGTGTGAGGGTTACTTCATGAGTAATTGCACCAACTCTTTAAGAGTTGGTGCAATTGCTATACTCACAAGGAATTTCCAAGATCAGGAGAAGCATATTAACATATTGTAAGATGATTTTCCTAAGATGTGTCTCAATGGAGTACAAATTATTATATAAAAGTGTGAACTATAGTCTTTTTTCCCTTAATTGCATATTTTAGTCAAACTAAATGATGGGTTTTATATATATATATATATATATATAGAAAGCTTCCCTGCACTCAAGCTAAAGAAATTCAAAAATTCTACTCCTAACCGTGAGTGCAGCTACACTTGCTTTTTCTCTCTCTCTCTCTCTCTCTGTATATATATATATATATATATATATATATATATATATATATTAATTACTATTAAACAATATTATTTTGGGGAAGAAAATTATTTCTGGACATAGAATATGCATTTAGACAAGATAAATGTTACAAAAAAAGGCATATAAAAATGATAAGAAAAAACTATTAAAAATAATAAGAACAGTAACAATAACAACAGTTAGTATAAACAAAAATGAGAGTGAAAAAAAGACCAACAAAATTAGAAAATTATTCTCATATGGTGCTTAGCAATTTTCATCCTTCATATATTAAAATACCCCAGGTTGTTTTTTGGTGACAGTTACAATACAATATAAATGCTAGTATATTTTAATTACAATTATTCAAACATCCATACTGTTAAAATCCATGCTGGAAGTGACCTACATTTTGAATGCTTTTTTTTTTTTTTAAAGTAATTTGAAAAAAAGGAGACTCACCTTATTCTACATGAGCACATGGTAGCAATTTAATTCATCATAGGGTAATAAGAATAGCTACCTAAACTAAAACAGTTTCACTGTATCAGCTAGTATGTTAATGAAAGCCCCATTCACAAATAGGTGCATTTACTGTACAAGTATTTGGTAAGGCAGAGAATGAAATAAAACTTCTATTATTGAAGGTGAGCTTATAGATGTAGATATTTTTGTAAATCGCTACAGTTATAAGCAATTGTGCTCAGTGAGACGGGAGATCTTTGTACAATAAGTAATTATGCACAGGGAGACAGGGGATCACAATAATCAATGCAAGCAGCACAGGCAAGGGTGCTTAGAGTGCCCATTAAGAACAACAGCCATGTTTTAAATTTGTTTTATAAAGAATGTATTGTATAATTAATGTTGTAATATTCATGTTATAAATTATAAGCCCAGCACTATTATTATTATTATTATTAATATAGTGCCAAAAGATTCCGTAGCATTTTACAATATTATAAGAGGGGGAGATTTAATTATAAATAGAAAAACTTACAGGAACGATAGGTTGAAGAGGACCCTGCTCAAACAAGCTTACAATCTATAGGTTAAAAATATTAAAGACTGCATTTACTTCATACAACAAAAATATCGCAACATTCAGGAAAACTGAAATATCTTCTCCTTTCCCATTCCTTAGCTAGCAACTATAATGTCTTTTTAAACGTGAAGTAATAATCCTACATCACCTTTCTGAACTACTTGTGCTGAAACTACCATGTCAGCTAAATTTAAATGGACATTAGTCCTATGCAAAGTGGCACTTTTTAACCAAACTGTCTGGATCTGTGGGCAATGTAGAAACCTGCCTGTTATTAGCCAGCCCTAATTCAACTTAAGGAGTACCTCAAATGCTGCAATGAACAGCACATATACCTCTGGCAGTCCGACGGATTTATAAAGTAGAGAGATCACAATTAAAGGGACACTATAGTCTCCTGAACAACTACAGATTAATGTAGTTGTTCAGGTGAGATTTATAGCTCCCTGCAGGCAGTCTAATGTAAACACTGTATTTTCAGAGAAAGTACAGTGTTTACATTGATTGACTGATAGGAATACCTCCAGTGGCCGTCACTCAGAAGGCCACCAGAGGGACTTCCTATCATGTATGGCCCTAAAAAGGCCATGTACACATCAGACGTATTAAAATACGTCTGACGTGTGAAGGAGAGAGAAGGCACTGTGTGCGCGCCTTCTCTCTCCTGCCTGTCAGCAGAGGAGAGGGGGTGGGCAAAGACCGCGAGCTGAGCTGTCAGTCAGCTCAGCTCGTGGCCACGCACACTGCGCACATGCGCGGTAGTGCACACAGGACTTCATAGGGCGGCATTCAAGTATGTGCAGCGAAGCCGCGCATGCGCACTAGGGAGCAAAGACGCTTCCAAATGTAAGCATCTGATTGCTCCCTGCTCGCGCCCGCCTATTTCGTCATTTTGACGAAATAGGGGGCGCGGCTTCACGAGCCTCCCGGCACTGGAACCAGGTGAGTAAAAAGGGCGGCCTGGAGAGTCCCTTTAACATCTTCTCTCCTACACATACGTGTAGTTGTGCAGAGTTATAGCAATATACAGATGTTAACACAGCTATAAAGTTATTGATGCATTGGTACCCTTGTCTGGGATTAACTTGCATATTAGAGGTAATGTTTTAGATACTCCTGAGACCCAGCCCATTAACTTGTGTCCTCTGTACTGGACATATAGTTCACATGCATCTCCTTTTATTCTTTTGAACTACTCTACCAATCCCTACTATATTGAGGGCATCCTGGGCTTTCCAGTAATATGTCATGTGAAAGGCTGGGATGCTTGGAACTTCCTCTTTCTTTTCATAAAAAATGCATGGCATATTTGAAGACAATGTTTTCTTCGGTTCCCAGGAGGATATATACATTTAAATTATGCAATTTGGTGGTCAAGAGTTGGTTGCTGTTGTTAAAGGACCACTACAGTGCCAGGAAAACAAACTCGTTTTCCTGGCACTATATTACCCTGAGGGTGCCCCCACCCTCAGGGTCCCACTCCCGCCAGGCTGAAGTTGGAGGAAGGGGTTAAACACTTACCTTTCTCCAGCGCCGGGCTCCCTCGGCGCTGGGTACTCTCCTCCTTTGGACGTCATTGGCTGAATGCGCATGCGCGGCAAGAGCCGCGTGCAAAGTCAGTCCATAGGAAAGCATTCTCAATGCTTTCCTATGGACGCTGGCGTCTTCTCACTGTGAAAATCACAGTGAGAAGCGCCTCTAGCGGCTGTCAATGAGACAGCCACTAGAGGCGGGATTAACCCATATGTAAACATAGCAGTTTCTCTGAAACTGCTATGTTTACAGCAGGCAGGGTTAACCCTAGAGGGACCTGGCACCCAGACCACTTCATTGAGCTGAAGTGGTCTGGGTGCCTATAGTGATCGTTTAAGCACCACTATCAGGTACATATACTTACCTGAACCTCTCGCGGTTAGGCACAGCCATAATCTTAGTTCTCCACTTAGTCAGCTCCTAGCAGCTTCATCTGTTAAACAGTGACAGTACAAAACAAGGGTCTGTAGAAGATACTGTGGGATCTTTATTAATAATCTTGCACCTGCACAATCAGAAGTCAGACAGGATTTGGCGGCAGCACCTCTGTCCATTTCAACATATTACCAAAACTGGCTCCTACATGAGATAAGATTAGGTATAGGCAACCTTCGGCACTGCACCCGAAAGTTACCTATTCCTAAATTAGACGGTATTCTGCCTCGTTTCAATCTTCTGATTCTGATTCAATGCAGTCACTGTGTGTTTTTCATAAACAATTTGTCATTATAAAGAAGTCAAAAGTGATAGTGCCATTTTAGTAGTCTGATACAAGTGCGTATTTGTGCAACAGGCACTTTAAAAGTGCAAAATCCAGATATTAAGTCAAAGCAGCTGTTGCCACCTATGTGTAAATACCTCCCACCTTTACACAACGTTACTAAACCAATAAAACTCAACTGTGTGGTGTATATACACTCATCCCAGTAATAGTGGAGCGCTATAGGCTAAAAACACTTACCCCAAATTTTAAAAGGTTGTGTAACCTAAAAAATACAAACACACACATAGTGTAATATTACCAATATTAAAGTAATAATTTGTGCTTTTTAATGGACACACTCACATTGGATAGAGGACAGGTTCTCATCACATCAGCTGATGTGTACTATGGTGGCACTGCCCCTCTTCCTCTGTATTTTGTCAAACTTGAAAAGAGAAAAAAAAAGGGGGAGAAAAAGTACTCCTTGTGCAATATATTTTCCAAATATAGTGAACAATATATAGTATTGCAAACCGCTTACCTTTCTTAGAGCCTATGATACTTGGCTCTAAGTTTGAAGACCCTTGTGTCAAAAGAAGGGACACAAACCCTTCTTTACAAACTGGATTAATAGGTTAGATGGACTTTATAGGAAGGTTCTAAAAATTACTATTTATTAATCATAAAAAATGAAATCAACAATATAACAATTAAAAAACAAGAGTTAAAGAATCCTCCTATGCTTTCCAAGAGGTGTTTTGCCTGCAGTCAGCTTTATCAAATCAGTATCATACCATTTTAGTAGTCTGATAACATTATTGTTATCATTGACCTAAAAACTAACCCAACAAAGTTGCATGTCCATATATTACCTGTATATTATGCGTCCTTGAATTACCTGTATGTACTTCCCAAATAGAGCTACACCCTGAAGAGAAAAGGCAGTGCAGTGCAAATGAAGGAGGCAGGAAAGTGCTTTCTGCATTAAGCATGAAGGTAATTATTTCTTTAAAAAAAACAAAATAAAAAAGCAGACTATCCCTTTAACCCCTTAAGGACCAAACTTCTGTAATAAAAGGGAATCATGACATGTCACACATGTCATGTGTCCTTAAGGGGTTAAGCACTGGTCATCTGGCCTGACCCTGCAGGATGAGCATTGTAAACACTTTTTTTCTGAGAAAAAATGCGGCTGCCTATGACCACATCTAGTGACGGTCAATCTGACAGCCACGAGTGTGACTTCCTGGCTTTGATCCAGCAAAGATTTCAGGACCAACATTCAACATCCCCACACTCTGCATGGAGACGCCAAATGCTCCCCATAGATATGCACTGAAAGAAAGCATTACCATGAGGAGATGCTGAGTGGTGTAGTGCAATATTTTGCCATGCATGCATACTGGCCTCCCAATGCTTACTTATGGGGAAGCATTAGATTGCCAGAAATCATCAAGATTGATGATCTCAGCAAAGGAGAGAGGGCCAGCAGCATGGAGACCAGCGCACCACAGGATATAAGGTAAGTGCATTTGCTTTTTTTTGTTAAAGGGACACTATAGTCACTCAGACCATATCAGCTCAATCAAGTGGCCTGGGTGCAGAGAATCTGCTATGTTTACATTTGGGGTTAATCCGGACAGCCACTAGAGGCGCATATTTCGCCTCCATCACGCAGAGCATCCATAGGAAAGCATTGAGAATTGCATGCGCATTCAGCTCTGCTGACGTCGGATTTGGGAGCTGACGTCAGCGGGGGAGGAGAAGTCACAAGCGCCGAGGGAGCTGCTGAAGGGGTTTTAACCCTTTCAGCGCCACGGGAGCGGGACCCTGAGGGTGGGGGCACCCTCAGGGCACTATAGTGTCAGGAAAACCGCTTTGTTTTACTGACACTATAGTGATCCTTTAAATGCTCACAGGTGTGCCAGATAATCTAAATAGTGAAAAGAACACTATGGCATTAGGAAAACATGTTTATACTGTCCTTTTAAGCAGAAAGAAAGTTGCATTTTGTTACTATTTAACACCCTAGACCAGGCTTCCCCAAATCCCAGCCTTACAGATGTTGCTGAACTACAACTCAATGATTCTCAGCCTATTTCACTCATAGAATCATGGGAGGTGTAGTTCAGTAGCATCTGGAGTGCCAGAGTTTGGGGAAGCCTGCCTTAGACTGTAATAATAAACACACATATCTAACACATACATTAATACATTTTCCAGCATTCTTTGTCTTTAATATTTGTGTCAGATTCACTCTCATCATCAGAAAGACATACAACGATCTCATTTGGGCTGTCTTCTGTAGAGATACATTCAGAGTTCTCTAGTTCCAGTCTGTTTTTTCCAGTCCTTGTGGATGTTTCACTAGAGTATTGGGTGCTTCCCTTTGCAGCAGCAATTCTGCTGCGGATATCTCTAAACAATGTTTTCATCTCTAGTGCTCCTAAACCGTGCTTTGCAGCTGCATGCTCCTTTAAGCTCCGTAAATGGTAAAAGCTCTTTTCACAAAAGGTGCACTGGTAAGGTTTATTCCCAGTGTGGGTTCGTTCATGTTTAAGTAGTTCAGTGGCTTCCACAAAGCCTTTTGCACAAACACTACACTTGAAAGGTCGATCACCAGAGTGAACAAAATTATGCCTTTTCAAATGGTCAAAACGTCTGAAGCCTGCACCACATATAGGGCATTTAAATGGTTTCTCACCTGTATGTATTAAGTTATGTTTATCAAGATCAGAGGGATACTTGAAGTTCTTATCACAAATATTGCACTTGTATAGCTTCCAATACACCATGTCTTTTTTAAACTGTGGGTGGATTTGCTGATGTCTATTAAGCTTATGTGGATCCTTGAAGGTCTTTGGGCAAACAGTGCACTTAAAAGGTCTTTCATTGGTATGACTCCGCATATGATGCTTTAAATGAGATGGCCATTTAAAACGCTTTGAACAGTCAGTACACTTTAAACTTTTGTCTTCTCTCTTAAACTTAGAATTGTAATCTTTCTCATTTGCCTGAGCGTGACATGCAGTTTGTTTTTTGCATTTAATTGGTGACTCATTGACACAATGAGATTTACTTTTCTCACTCATAGTATAAGGAACCCCTCTACTGTCAATAAGCAAAACATCCAAATCATCTTGTGCACATGATCCCCTTTTACACATATCCATTTTATTTTTTCCTCGCAGAGTAATTTTGTTTGTTCAGTTTCTTTTGCCTCCTAAAATAGAACACTGATTGTTAAACATAAACAAAACATTAAAAGGTATATTCAAACGCTGAACAATATATGGTTGTACAAATTCTGAGATTTCAACTGAACGTTTACTATGTAAAAGAAACCCATTTTGCGATTTACAAATGAAAAATTGGTTTATCCCAGCCATATTTGGAAACTACAATTTTGCAATTCATTAAAATGTACGTAAAACTCGCATAAGATTGCTAATTCTGCTATTCACAAACACCTGAAATGCAACACTACTATGTATTCTGCTTGTTAAATCTAATACCCATGGATACAGATTAGGGGGATTGCACTAAGGCAATAAAGCTACCCTAACAACTCTTACTGATATCCCAACCCAATCTTTAATTTAACTACATCTCCTTTCCTGATATCAGTATCATTTGATTGCTGTTTAGTTTCTATTTGAAATCTCCCAGCTGTAACGAGATCCAAGTGAACATAGTTGGGACTTGTTCAACTCAATGCAGTATCACTTCAATCATTAGAGAATTCTATGAGACAAACTGAAATGAATTAAGTCAAATTAAACTGAACAAACAGTTAAAGTCCCTTCTTGTTGATAAAACTTTGGCTTTAGTTCTTTCTTCTGTACCTTTATCCAATTAGCTCAACATTAACTCTGTGCCCATCACTCTCCATTTGCTTCTTTAGTTTACATGGAACTCCTTTGTGAAATGGCAACATGCAAAAATAATTTAAAAGCTCATGGTACCTTGCTGGAGGAAGCATCCTTGATCAAAGAAAATATTTATATGATTACTTTGCTTTTTTTTTCAGCAATTTTGCCCTTTTCTTGTAAGTATTTCATCTACAAAGAAAAAAAACAAAGAAAAAAAGCTTGAAAAAAAATGTTTAATGGGAATGGTAAAATATTAAAAATCACCTACAACTTGTGTTAACCTTTTAATCTAATGTTATATTTTCATTTTAATTTACATTAAAGGAATACTCCAAGCACCATAACAACTACAATGTGCTGTAGCAGTTATGGTAGAGTGTCCCAATGCCCTAGCTCCAATTTAAATAGTCAAACCGTTATTGAATGGTCTGACTTCTTCCTGGGGTCTGCCAGGTGCTGTTCCCTGCCTCTTCTCAGCCAGAAGCTTCAGCAAAGAGCTTCCAGTAGCAATTCTGAGCCAAGTCCTGTAGTGCCGGACGAGATCATTGGTATAGTGCATGAGCTGATTGCTCTCAGGCAATGAACTAAGTTTTGCACAACTGGACTTAGCTCAAAGCTGAGAGCTTCCAGCTTTGGAGGCAGATCCAGAGAGGAAAGCAGCAGCAGCCAGCAAATCCCAGGTAAGAATTCAATCATTTACTAAAGGCATGACGTTTTACATTCAGGGGAGAAAGGGCTTTCCTGGCACCATAACCACAATAGCACACTGTAGTGGTTATTGTGATTGATGTGTTCCCTTAAAGATGTTGCAAAAGACATCAAAATCCAGTTCAGTTCAGGCACTGCCAGGGAACACATCACACATGACAAAGACAAATGCAAACATTTCTTAAAGGGACACTATAGTCACCTGAACAACTTTAGCTTAATGAAGCAGTTTGGGTGTATAGAACATGCCCCTTCAGCCTCACTGCTCAATCCTCAGCCATTTAAGAGTTAAATCCCTTTGTTCATGAACCCTAGTCACATCTCCCTGCATGTGACTTGCACAGCCTTCCATAAACACTTCCTGTAAAGGGAGCCCTATTTAGGTTTTCTTTATTGCGAGTTCTGTTTAATTAAGATTTTCTTATCGCCTGCTATGTTAATAGCTAGCTAGACCCTGCAAGAGCCTCCTGTATGTGATTAAAGTTCAATTTAGAGATTGAGATACAATTATTTAAGGTAAATTACATCTGTTTGACAGTGAAACCAGTTTTTTTTTCATGCAGGCTCTGTCAATCATAGCCAGGGGAGGTGTGGCTAGGGCTGCATAAACAGAAACAAAGTGATTTAACTCCTAAATGGCAGTGAATTGAGCAGTGAAATTGCAGAGGAATGATCTATACACTAAAACTGCTTTATTTAGCTAAAGTAATTTAGGTGACTATAGTGTTCCTTTAATTTAATTTTTGTATGCCTACCTGCTAACTGCTTCGTAAAAAAGGACAGATAGAAAAAAGTGATAAGTGCTCTCTATCCAATAAAGCAGCTATTTACCAACAAGGAGTTCCTTTTACCTTGTGAACAATAGAACAAAACAAGCTAGTAAATTAGGTGGACAGCGCTAAGAATTATTATAATAAAATCATACATACAAAGGAAGCAGCAGATTTCGCTATTATGTTTCTTACTCTTAAAAAAAAAAAAAAGGAAATAAAAGTACAATGATAGTGTAGTATGTTATGAATAATATGGTGATAAAGATATATTCCAAAGGGGCACTCACGTTTTGAAGAGCTTAAAAAGCTCTATTTTAGGAGCCTGGACAGAACAATCCCCATCTAAGGATTTATTTTTGCTGGTATCAGATTCCCAAGGTAGTACGGTTCATCATATGAAAAAAATAAGGATGTATACCAATGGTACAGTACGTATGTAAAAGTAGGATAAGTAAATAATATTAGACCTACTTACATTTGCTAGAGCAATGATCTGCTCTAGTGTATGGAGCTTTAGGTGGAACAATCCCCACCTAGGGATATATGTCGATCCGGAATGGCAGAGTGATGGTGAGAGTATAAGGAGCTCTGGAGTGACGTAAAAAAGGACAGTGCTTAAAACAATAATTGACAGGGATCCAAGTTTGTGAAACTCAGAGGATAAGCAATACTTATTTCTGAACTTAATTTTATTTCCCAAGAATGGCAGCACTCTTCCATGGTTAGCTCCACCCACTTGACAATAAAAATAGAATTAGTCTATAAATAACTCTTCAATGGCCAAAATCACCCCACCCAGTTCGTTTTCCTGTACACACATTTGTATGACCGTTTTATTTTATTGAACTACATGCATAATGTGCCCTGTGCCTTTAAATTACATGCTTCACAAAGTGTGCAGTCTAAATATATAAATATTATAAAAAAAGCCTATACACAGAGATTGAGATTGCATTTACAATAATATGGAATCAAATCGACATCAGCATGTATAAAAAGAGGGACCAAAAGCCAACATTGTATAAAACCTTTAGCAATAAATATAAAGGAGGGAATAATGGTCACTCACAAACACAGAGCAGATAAACCACTGCTCAAAATAACCATGATCAAATTGAAAGCACTCCAAGGCAGCTTCCAGAATATAGTGATGAGCTATAGGTATGAAATCCACTGGAACTTTGTGCAGGTAAGTAAAACAAACTTATTTCAGCACCACATGAAGATTATTGCCAGATAACATCAGAGATATTTAAGATTCTGCTTTAATGACAATTCAGGGCCCTCTCCTTTGGCCTATGTTTAGCGTCCAGAGTCTTCTCGAAGGTCATGGTTTTCCTGATTGCAGAGATTTGGCTTCAAGGGGGTTTACAACAGCCTTGTGATGGCAAACAATCAGTCAACGCTGGTGCCTCATCGCAACATGGCAAGAATTATCCTTGAAAAGAATGAATGGGTGACGAATTTAAAGAAAAGCCAACTTGTTCTCTCAACGGAGTATCTATTTAAGAGCCATGTTCAACAGGAGAGAAGGATTGATTCCCCTTTCAGAAGGCTCCCACACTGAAAACTAAAATCCTATAGATCCTCTTCATGTGGCTTTAAGTCTCCTGGGATCCCTTAAATCTACAATATGGTTTGACAACGTGTGCCAGATGACATTTAAGAGTTTCTCAAAATTCCTCCCTCTCAATTCAGGAACCAATCTCTTAATCTGAAGATGAATGTATCAACAAGAGTAAAAAACTCCCTGAAATGGTGGCTGGTGGGGGCAAATCTGTTCAATGGAGTTCTACTCAAGAAAATAGGCATGATGCATGGCTCTCAGGCTAGGGAACCCATACAGATATCTCATTTGTCCAGTAAAAATAGCCAAAGTCGCTGAGGGAAAAATCATCTAGTATGGCAATTTAGGAACATTTGCAACACTTGCATCCATACGTCCAAGGTCATTGCATGAAACTATAGGTGGCAAAACATGAGCTAAAACCAGCTTTAGGGTGGGATCACTCTGATATGCAAATTGCCTGGATTTTTTTATAATGGCACAAGATGAGCTAAAACCAGCTTGAGATCTAAGCAGGGACCCACCAAAAGGGCAAGCTGTTTGAGCTGTTGTCTGTTCTCAGTACTCTCTTGCACAATATTTGTTTTTGCTCGTTGCATGCTAGAAGGAAAACTACCTCATTAGAGCCGATAGAGGTGCTTCACTTTTGGCGTTTGCTGCAGCAGAATTATTAAGTTTCCTTCAGTAACGCCTAGACCAGGGGTGGGTAATCTGCGGCCCTCCAGATGTTTTGGACTACATCTCCTTTAACGCTCTTAGGGCCATAATGCTAGCAAAGCATCAAGGGAGAGGTAGTCCATAACATCTGGAGGGCCGAAGATTGCCCAGCCCAGGCCTAGACAACGATATCATAGTTACATATAGTTACATAGCTGAAAAGAGACTTGCGTCCATCAAGTTCAGCATTCCTCACATTTGTTTTTGCTGTTGATCCAAAAGAAGGCAAAAAAAACCAGTTTGAAGCACAATTTTGCAACAAGCTAGGAAAAAAAATTCCTTCTTGACCCCAGAATGGCAGTCAGATTTATCCTTGGATCAAGCAGTTATTACCCTACATTGAAAGATTATATCCTTGAATATTCTGTTTTTGCAAGTATTCATCTAGTAGCTGTTTGAACATCTGTATGGACTCTGATAAAACCACTTATTCAGGCAGAGAATTCCACATCCGGATTGTTCTTACAGTAAAAAAACCTTTCCTTTGCCATAGACAAAATCTTCTTTCTTCCAGTCTAAACACATGGCCTCGTGTCCTATGTAAAGTCCGGTTTGTGAATAGATTTCCACACAATGGTTTGTATTGGCCTTAAGGAAGAGGTTTCAGGAAGAGGTTTCAGCTATTTCAGGGTTCGGGTGGCCTTTGCATTCAAATGTAGCAAAATTTATTAGATCAGTGCTACAAATCAGCCACCCATTGAAATCCATCTTTCCACCTTAGGACTTACCATTGGTGCTTTCAGCCCTTCAATCAGCTCCATATCAGCTTTTGGAAGAAATTCCTATCATGATGCCAACACAAAATAAAGTGTTTTTGGTGGTACTTGCTTCTGGTCAGAGTATCAGAGCTAGAGAGAGACTCTTTCCTCAGATAATGTTTTCACATCTTTATTTTGTGTGGGGGATTGAACCAGAATATAAACCTAAAGTGATGTCAACTTTCCACCTCAATCAAAATATTGTTCTTACAGTTTTCTTAACTTCTTCAATTTTTATTATCTAGATGTTGTGAGATGTCTATCTCAACAGAGCTAGTGATTGGAGGAAGTCGTCCAGACTCTTTATACTGTTAGGAGTTTGTAAGCAAGGTGACAGAGCATCCGTCATAACTATCTTCAAATGTGTTGTGACAGCTATTTCTAAAGCTTGTGAGGCAAAGCAGATTCCGGTATCCCAAGGTTTGAAGGCAAATCCACAAGGGCATTATCAGATTCCTGGGCAGCTGTTGCACATGTTCCTACAGACCAGATTTGTAGGGCAGCTACATGGTCTTCTCAACATACTTTTATCCGTCCCTATCAACTAGACCTTAGATCAGGGGTGTCCAAACTTTTTTCAAAGAAGGCCAGATTTGATGAAGTGAATATGCGTGAGGGCCGACCATTTTGCCTGACATTCTTTGAAACATTAAAATTAAATGCAAATTAACTATTTTATGCAAAGTTTATTGCAAATGGCATACTTTTCATTTCATCTCTTCATTCTGTCTCTCTTTATTATGTCTCTCTCTCTTTCATTCTGTCTCTCTTTATTATGTCTCTCTCTCTTTCATTCTGTCTCTCTTTATTATGTCCCTGTCACTTTCATTCTGTCTCTCTTTATTATGTCTCTCTCTCTTTCATTCTGTCTCTCTTTATTATGTCCCTGTCACTTTCATTCTGTCTCTCTTTATTATGTCTCTCTCTCTTTCATTCTGTCTCTTTATTATGTCTCTCTCTCTTTCATTCTGTCTCTCTTTATTATGTCTCTCGCTCTTTCATTCTGTCTCTCTTTATTATGTCTCTCGCTCTTTCATTCTGTCTCACTTTATTATGTCTCTGTCTCACTTTATTATGTCTCTGTCTCTCTTTATTATGTCTCTGTCTCTCTTTATTATGTCTCTGTCTCTCTTTATTATGTCTCTGTCTCTCTTTATTATGTCTCTGTCTCTCTTTATTATGTCTCTGTCTCTCTTTATTATGTCTGTCTCTCTTTCATGCTGTCTCCCTTCATTCTGTCCCTCCAGGGAGAAGGAACCAAATCCTGCGACGTCGAAGAGATCGCGAGAACACAGACTGAGGACGAGCAGTGACTGCACGTCCATCTGGGTTCTCGCGATCTCTTGGCCCCCAGTGAATGCCCGCGCGCCGCTCAGGACCGTGGCGTTCAAAGATCCAGGGATCCTGAGCGGCGCTCGGGGATTCACGGGGAGCCACAACAGATAGATTAGCCAAATTACCTGTGGGGCCGTATTAAACTGGAACGAAGGCCGCACTTTGGACATGACTGCCTTAGATCCTCTAAGGATTCACAATTTGGCAAAGCAGTCCTTTCGCATCAGGATTTTGACATATATATATATATATATATATATATATATATATATATATATTACCTTTAGCAACATTTCCTTGGTGTGCTTTTTCTTTCTTTCACTCCCATGTCTTTTTTTTTTTTGCTTGGATATGACCCATGTGTAGTGCTGCTATGGCTGGGAAAGGAGAAAATGTACCTCATATTTACCGATATTTTCCTCTCCTTGTGATGTGTCATGGCAGCACTACGCCCCATCCTGTTTTGTGTGGTTCGTTATTAACTAGGGTGACCTGGCCATAGGGGATGTATTTATAATGAATTATTGTATTTCCTGTCCAATGGGAGTAGTGGGTGGAGCTAACCCTGAAGTAGTGTTGCCATGGTCCATCACCGGTAAAGGAAAATATTGGTATGAATGTGGTAACTTTTTTCTTTCAAAAACACGTATTTGTCTATAAGTACTGGGAAGTGAGTTCTCTTTTAAAAGGTAAATTGTGACCAATTAAACTGTTTTGATACCCATTAGCTTGCTTACCTTCTTCCACAGATTTACTACCTAGATTAAAGGACCACTATAGTGCCAGGAAAACATACTCGTTTTCCTGGCACTACAGGGTCTCTAGGTCCCACCCTCAGAGCCCCCCTCCAGCCGAGCTTGAGAGGTGTAAGGAATTAAATCTTACCTGTTTTCCCCCGCCGGGCTCCCTCGACGCAGGGAACTCTCCTCCTCCTTTTCGCCTCCAAGAGCCGCGCGCGCATTCAGCCAGTCCATAGGAAAGCATTCTCAATGCTTTCCTATGGACGCTGGCGTCTTCTCACTGTGAAAATCACTCTTCTCACTGTGAAAATGAGACAGCCACTAAAGGCTTGATTAACCCTAATGTAAACATAGCAGTTTCTCTGAAACTGCTATGTTTACAGCAAAAAGGGTTAAACCTAGATGGACCTGGCACCCAGACCACTTCATTAAGCTGAAGTGGTCTGGGTGTCTATAGTGGTCCTTTAACTATTTACATGAAAAGGAATATTATAAATTGTCAAAAAATATGAATAAAAATCAAATCTATTTGACAGAAAATGTGTACATCTAAATGAATCTCAAACAAAATAGTTCGGAAAGTGTCTAGGCGTTGTGTGCATTATATAGTCTATATCAATTCCTCCAATGTCTGACAACAGGGAAGAGTTTTGTATTTTCTATGTTGAATCGCTTCATTGCAAAGTGTTATGTTAACATGAACCCACAGCTCAGTGATGACCATCCTTGGCTCCCCAGATGGGCATTTTGGGACATGTACCATGATAAGCCATTGTAACGGATCGTCTGGCACCCCGACTGGGTACCTCCGTTGAAAGATGCTCCTAGCGCTTCCTGAGGACTCCAAGCACTGCAGCAGACACCACAATCACCGAACCAGAGAAGCGTATACCTTCTCTCAAGCATAAGAATGCTGTAGACAGTTGAATAGGAACCATACGAATAGGTTTACTCTCCTAGCAGTCAAACTGGAACAGCATACAATAAATCCTTCCCCCAATAATGAGACGACACTTCACTTTGAGGGTTAAAACAGGAACTCCCTGTACTGTCACATACAGTCTCTTTTATTCCCAATCCACAAACATAGTACAGCCCACAGGGCGTTACAAAACAACCAATCAATCCGTACAATACACCCAGACACTCCCACACAAAATCCTCCCCTCTGCAGGTGATATGATTACTGAACACAATGGGTAATCTCATTATCACCGGCAGAGGAATACAGTTTTTACACAATATTTCTAACTTCTAAAATATACATGTCACAAACATAAAACATACATTTTCATAATCAATCCATTCAGGGGAACAACATATTAAAAAATTGCACTAATCAGACCAGGGGTTCAAAAGTTAAGGGAAAGTCCTTTGTGACTAAATGAAGCATGGCTTTCTGGCCCAAACCAGTTTCAGAGTCTTCTATCCTGGAGAGTAATTCAATTATCTCCCAGGACAGACACAAGACTCCATTAAGCACATGGTTGCAAAAAGACACAAAACACTTTAAAATACATAAAGTCACATTTACACATAACACACAGACATTTCACATATCCCCAGATAGCTGGGATCTGAGTGCACATTATTAGATGAATGGCACTCAGATCACACAAATAAGCCTTTCTGCAGGGGAAATAAACGGTTTAACCTGCAGGGCCATAGTCCAAAGGGAGCAGGTGAGCAACCAGGCTTCTCCAGTTCACAGTGGCGAGGTTGGTTTCGCCACAGCCATCACTACTATAGAATGGGTTGCACTAACGTTCCTAACTTTCAGCACCTCTATCCAACATTTTCAACCTCAAAAAAAAAAAAAAAAAAAATGTCCCTGTGCATCGCTACTATAGAAACTTATTTAAAAGGCACCAGCTAAATGGCAACTGTTATCTGAAAACTATTCTTAAAGGACCACTCTAGGCACCCAGACCACTTCAGCTTAATGAAGTGGTCTGGGTGCCAGGTCCAGCTAGGATTAACCCATTTTTTTTTTTATAAACATAGCAGTTTCAGAGAAACTGCTATGTTTACAAATGGGTTAATCCTTCCTCCAATTCCTCTAGCGGCTGTCTCATTGACAGCCGCTAGAGGCGCTTGCGCGATTCTCACTGTGAAAATCACAGTGAGAGCACGCAAGCGTCCATAGGAAAGCATTGTAAATGCTTTCCTATGCGACCGGCTGAATGCACGCGCAGCTCTTGCCGCGCGTGCGCATTCAGCCGAATGGGAGGATCGGAGGAGGGGGCACCCTCAGGGCACTATAGTGCCAGGAAAACAAGTATGTTTTCCTGGCACTATAGTGGTCCTTTAATATATTTCTTTAATCGAGTATTAAAAAGAAACCAATATTTTTAAATGAAGTAGATGTTAAAACATTTTTTTTTTTTTTTTTTTAAAACCCTCAATGCTACCGTTACATGGGCAGAATCAAGGAAGCCCATATAGACTGACAATCTGTATTTACTGCCTGATACCCGCTGTATAAGGATCCGGGGATAAGTGCTTCTCATTTTTTAATATATACTTAATAAATATCTATATTTCCTTTTAATACTTGATGAAAGGATTATTATATTAAAACAAGTTTTGAGGTGACAGTTGTCCTTTAATTACCATAGAGTCCAACATCCCCTCACCCAAATTAATAAAATATTTATACTCATATAACAGCCCAAGCCACTCACTGACTGATAATGAACTCTGAGCATAGCGGCCTAATAATACATCCACTCACTCTACCTATCAAACACAATTAGGAAAAGGCCAACGTTGCGTCACTTCAGCTTGCACCAGCGCAGCTATCCCTCGCAGTCCTCGCATCCCAGCCCCCACCAGACAGCTACCTCCGCACTACCTTACCTTGCAGCACTGCGCTGAGACCCACTGTGGTAGAAAGGCGCAGTGATGTCATCACGCATCCGAGCACGAATGACGATACGCCCTCACAATGCGCAGCCAGCCATGTTTGGAGAGGGCAAGTTGACACAGTACTTCAGAAAATATTATCACTGAAGTTCTTGTCTCAGCCTTTTCATTTTACTACTAGTGGTTACATTTCGCGTGGATTTCTCTGGTTTATGTTACATTTATGGTAGGACAAGTGAGTTGCCAGGAACAAAGATGGCGGCCTCTAACGCGCATGCGACGCTAAACCATAGACAGCGTCGGACGCTCTGGTTGGCTCTCTATGGTATGTTGGCGGTTCCGGTTATCCTCCGGCTCCACACGTGTGCTGTGATCAGGGCCAGTGGGAGCAGAGTGTGGTGAAATGGTCGCTGAGGGTGATGTCCGTGTGGTCCGGTGTGGAGGGAGCAGGCTGAATTATCGGAAGGCAGTGTTTACTGCAGACGGCAAGTGAGTTATATGGGAAGATACTGTATGGCTGATCTCCATGAGGATCAGTGTGCTCGCTCTCACCAACATTCCTAGTGCTCTATACGTGCCCAGGGCACACACTCTGACACTCTGATAGTGTACTTGGTGGACATCAAATGCAGGCAGGACAATGTGACTAGCCATATGTTTACATCTAGAATGTATGAGCAGGGCCACATTTAAAAAAAAAAAAAATAATATATATATGTATGTATGGCATTTTGTCAATTACTTGCAATTACAAACACTACTGTACAACAGCACTGCAGAATATGATGACACTTTTAAAAATATTAAGGGTTATTCCAAGCACTATAACCACTTCAGTTATTTGAAGTGCTCATGGTGCCTGGAGTCTATATGCGCAGCATTTCACTTTGAAACGTTGCACATACAGAGTTTAGCCCCTTGGCTTGTAGTTGTAACTCCACCTCTGGTAGCGTCATGGAGATGTGTTTAGCCAGCACAGATCAAAAGTTCCGTGTTGGCTAATGTCAATGCTGTGTGAATGTTTTTTGCACAGTGTGACATTTATTGGCTGAGAGCGGTCAGCTGACGCTTTTTACCAATTAATGGCAGCTGGATCAGTTTACATCTTCTGCAGAAGCTGGAATCATGTCAGCAGAGGAGCTTGAAGCGTCTGAGCATGGCGTTGTTAAACAGATTGCCCCATTACCAGGGAACAGGGCCAGGGTGCTCCTGGCATTATGACAATAAAGTCTGAACTAGAAACACAGGTGTCAGGAATACAAATGTGTATTCCTGACATCACACCATTTTAGTTGTCTGAAACCCCCCTGTGCCTGTGTTAAAAAGTAAAAAACTTACCATTATTAGAAGGCTGCGCGGCTCTGCCACTCATGTCTCCGCCCCAGCCTCCTTGCCTCAGATCATCAAAACAACACACTGTGACAATCAGCATCTGCCAATGCATCTCTATGGAAAGCGTTCAGTGTCTCCATGAAAAGTGTGGAGACACTGAACATCTGTGCTGCACATTGTGCAGAACTAACACAGGAAGCACCACTAGTGGAAATTTGAGTGACTGCCACTAGAAGTTTTTCTGAAGCAGCAATCTGAACACTGCATTTTCTCTGAAAATGCAATGTTTACATTTAAATTCCTGCAGAGACATACTATATACACCAGAACAACTTAATTAAGGGGACACTCCAGGCACCCAGACCACTTCTGCCCATTGGAGTGGTCTGGGTGCCAATTCCCATCACCCTTAACCCTGCAAGTGTAATTATTGCAGTTTTGTATTTATCAGACAGCCACTAGAGGGACTTCCAGGTTCTTAAAACATGAAAAGTGTTTTAAACGACGCTGGATGACCTCACGCTATGCATGAGAACCTCCTGCGTCGCCAGAATCCCCATAGGAAAGCATTGAATAATGTTTTCCTATGGGGAGGTCTAATGCACGCACGCGTTGCCATTTTCCCCCGCGGGGTAGGAGCGTGGGCGGAGCCTGACCCAGCTCCGAGGGACATCGGGGCTTGATTCAGGTAAGTCACTGAAGGGGGTTTTAACCCCTTAAGCAATATAAGATGGGGCGTGGGAGGGACGGGGGCACTGCAGTTTTCTTCAGTGCCAGGAAAACAAATCCGTTTTGTTTTGTTGTTTTCCTGGCATTGGAGACTCCCTTTAAGCTGTAGTGGTTGTATTAACTACAGTGTCCCTCTAACTTTGTTAAATGGAATTCGTTGACCAAAAAGTAAAATATTGCATGAAATAAGATGGAATATTCTTCTTAAAGGGACACTATAGTCACCAGAACAGCTACAGCTTGTTGTAGTTGTTCGGGTATCTGTTTACATTACTGCCTGTGAACTAGGGATCGACCGATATTGATTTTTTTTTAGAGCTGATACCAATAATCTGTGAACTTTCAGGCCGATAGCCAATAACTTGCCGATATTCTGTACATTTACCATTTTGAAAAAATAAACTATTTCTAAAGGTAAATGCAAAAAATATACATGCAGTGGATTACGTGTAGTGGATGCAGTGTGTATTTGTGTAGTGTGTATATATAGTGAATGCAGTGTTTGTGTAGTGTGTGTATATAATGAATGCAGAGTGTTTGTGTAGTGTGTGTGTTTCTGAAGGGATGTAATTTGTGTAAAATGGGGAGTAGGCAGGTATTTTTTATTTTATTAATATATAAATGTTTTTTTTTTTTTGTCCCCCCTCCCTGCTTGTTGCCTGGCCAAGGAGGGGGGCTATGGCATTCCTTGATGGTCGAGTGGCATGTACTGAGCAATGGGGGCCCGCAGCAAGCTGTCACTTACCTTCCCAGCAGCTCCCCTGTGTAAATCTTGCGGTCTGCGTGCCGCGCGGAGCATTGCCATGGTAACCTGTGATACCACTCTGACAGCCGCGGGACTCTCAAGATTTACACAGGGAGCTGCTGGGAAGGTAAGTAACATCTTGCTATGGGCCCGGCGGTCCTGTTATGTATTATCGGCAATATCGATATCTTTATTGGCCGATATTGCTGAAAATACCGAAGATCGGCCGATAATATCGGTGAAACCAATAATCGGTCGATCCCTACTGTGTACACCTCCAGTGGCAGTCACTCAGACAGCCACTAGAGGTGCTTCCTGGGTCAGTGTTTCCCATACTGATGCATCGATTCAGTGCATCTCTATGAGGAAATGCTGATTGGCGCAGCTTTTTTGCTGCGCATGCGCAATAGCCTCAGCGTTGAATTGGACAAGACCAGACAGGGCCAGCCACGGTGAGGTACACAAGGTTAGTATAATTACCTTTAATCTCCGGATAAAGGCGCAGACTTATATATAGCAGTCCCCCAAGGCCACAGTTATAGGTAGGGCTTCACCAGTCACAATCACTTCAAGCTGGTCGATTCTAAGAGAGGCCGTTATCCCGCCATATTGCTCAGTGCGCCCAAGTCTCACTGCCTAAATCATATTTAGCACATCTCAAGTCTCTTGGCACTTATATCTACTGTCACCAACCTTGGTAGTTTTTCACCACTAGGCATTATATAGCTTGCTTGTTAATGCTGAGTTAAAGGGTATAGTATTAAATATACCTATTGAGATGTCATTGGTTCAGTTGGTCCACTCTTTGATAGCTAATCAGGTGCCTCAAATCAGGGTGACAAGCTTTCCTTAGTTAGAACCCCGTCTATGGGTAGCCAGACGAACATTGGTGAGTACAAGCTCCCTCAGATCATGGACTGTTGCCAAAATTACGGCAGAGTAATTCTGGAGTTGCAAGTTGTGACTTCAAATATCTTTGCAAGCTCCATCAGTAAGACGCATCATTTACAAAATATCCGTGCATGCCTAAGAGAGGAAGGCTGTTTCCTACAATTCCATTGCCACCTATAGCAACTGGCCTATGTTGCTGTGTTTCACCCTAAATTATCCCAGTGCATATCCAGCAGATATTTCAATCCATGTTGCATGTAGCCCAAAACCCCTTTATGCAAGTGATAGGGACAGAAATGAAGCTATATGTGTGAAGTTTGTATTTGTTTTTAATCTGAAAAGTATGGACTCTTGAGTATGGTCTCCTCTGATGGCAATATCGCACATTTAGTGGTGGTGCAAATAAATTGATACTTCATTTCTAGTGCTGAAATTACTATACTGTCAACACTTTAAAAATGTATGCTTTTATATTCTTTGTTAGGTACCTCCTGTGTGTTTCCGGTGATTTCATCAAATTATATAGCACATCCACAGAAGAATGCATTCATGTTTTACAAGGTCACAAGAACGTGGTCACTGGCATTGAACTTAACCCACAAAACCACTTACAGGTAGGATAATCCGTTCTTTACCAACCAACACAGACACTGGTTCTATGTAAATTGGAAATGAGAAACCTGCAGCTCTCCTGATATTGATAAAAAATATATAGGTTTTCCAATAAATCTTTATAAAGGTTAAGTCCCTCCGCCACCTGTGAATACATTCCAATCAGACATTTTGCTTACTTTCCAGCACAACAAAAACTAGAGTACTTGTGGTCTAGATGCTTTGATAATCTTCTGTCGAGTGTGTCTAATGCTTGCTCCATTATATAGGAACTGTTTCTTTCCATTCTAACATCAATGTGCTGACAATGAAGCTAAAGTGTCAGTGTCGCATAGAAATCTAGTGCTGGCCCACCTGCGCCAATGTTGCATTATGGGATGCAGGCAGGGTAAATAGTTTACCTTCCATTCCAGAAGACCTTTTGAGAAAAGGGCAGGTATGGCTAATGGGGTGGAGTTATGCTTGCAGAAAGCTGTAAAATTTCAAAACCTTCTTCAGTCCCCTAGATTGGATGAGTTATTAACTATATGGCTTTTTAAGAAGTCAAACCATTTTAAAATGGCGTTAAAACTTGGCTGGGCTTCTATTCTCCTCTGCTCTGACCCATTCTTCAGATGCCACTAAAGCTGCATTCCCTACGTCCACATTAGTGAAATTGGTTGTTCTGATGCCCCAAAGCACAATGTGTTTGTTCAGATCTAGAATGACAGATTGGTCATGACTGTTTCATGGATGAATGTTGGAAGACAGTCCAAGTGCTCAAAGTAGAGGTGTTCCTGGACAACCATGATGTTATGTGCATACTCAAAGTAGGGTACTGGCAGTAATATTTTGTGAGTCAGTGCTCCCTGGTTCCAAGCTTTTTGTATCCTGTGTTTTTGCGTGTAGGTATCTTAATGTCCCTAGGAGGCAGAATTCTAAAGCACAGACGGTTTCATGCTGAATCTTTTAGACTCCAATGTCTTTAAAATAATAAATGATCTGTGTACTTGTATATTGTAATTATTATAATGCCTTAATTTGATATTTGCGTGTTTTTATCACTTCCTCAGCTTTATTCATGTTCGTTGGATGGTACTATTAAATTATGGGATTTCATGGATGGAATCTTAATAAAGGTATGTTGTACTATCATTCTTGCATATTAATAGCTTCTGATACACTAATATTTATTGTGTTAGTCATTTTAGCTCATGAACTACTCCAGGAGTATCTTTCCATTTTGTACCAGTTTTTTCCGTTCACTTTTACTTTTTGAACTGTGTATTGCCTGCATAGATTTGGAACTCCCCTTAACTCCATCAATGACAACATTATAACTTCATGGCATTGGTTAAACCTTTCCTTTATAAATCTTGGGGAAAAAGTTAGAACAGATTTTAAGTATACTTATGATCCCAAAGTACCTCTTAGCTGTTCGTGTACTGGTCTGTCCCATGCCATTTGCACATTGACAGATTGATTATGAAGTCAATTCCAGTGGCAACCTTTTGTTAGTTCTAATTATTATTTTTTTCTCTCCCCGTGAATAAGGAATACGTTGTTGTGGGGTGTCTATCTGTAGCAATCTATGTATAGATAAATTAATATTGTGCTTGCAACTCTAAAGATTACATGTAAACTCAGTCTGTGGTTGTGTGTTTTGCTGGGACAGTACTTGTTAATGAAGAGGCAAACAATCCTTTTAGATGCCAAGAAAATTTTAAGTCCAGCTCTTGCCACAACTTCTTCCATATCATGACTTCCTCTATCTCTTTGGGAAAAATTGCATTACTCTCGAGCGACACATTTTGCTGGATTGTACAGTTTTTACGTAATAAATTGGTTTCCATGGTGATTGCTCCACCATTGTGCTAATTAACCCCAAATATTATAAAAATAATATAATTAAATACAATAAAATATATTTCTAATAAAATATATGTCTACAGTGTATTTAATATGGAAAAAACACAATTTGTGATTATGTCAAAAGTATACATTTTAGTATGAATACTTGCAGTCTTTTTACTGGGAGATTTTCATCACATTGCGTGTGCACAGCACACACGAACAAGCATACATGAATAAAGTACTGCCAAAATGATCAAACTTTAGAGAAGATAAATATGTCGCTTCTAAACAATTCATTAAGTTACAGATCTTTCAGAGCTACTTGTAAGAACTACGCTACTGTAAGTGAAATTGCAGAATAAGTCACAGGGATTTTGGGGGGTGTAAAAGGCTTAGTCTGCCACTGTGCTCTCTATCTACGTTAATAGCTCTTAAATGGAATCAGTGGTCACTAAAGGCACCCTTTTTTTACATTGTATAGATAATGCATTACAGTGTTAAAATACACCATGTTTAAAGATCCTGAAGCTGCACAACTTAGTAAAACTGACTGCAACTTCAAGACAGACCTGTTTCTCCCCTAGAAGAGACTCTACCAGTCAGTAGCCTCTCATCCTATTCTAGGGGTTTGATCTCACCCAATAAGTAATTTATCTCTCAGCTGCAGTTTCATTCATCTCATAGGATGAGTGGATCTACTCTGTAAACTGTGCAGTCATACCACAGCTGCTGTCAGAGTGTGTGTGTGTGTATATATACACACACACACACACACACTGTCTGGTTAACAGTTGTTGTGCGGTTGTTGTTTTTTTTCCCATCATGTGCTTCATATAGTTTATAATTTTCGATACCTTTAACCCCTTGCAAACGAAGACAATTGTCCAAGTTGTGAACCAAAACAAAACCCAGAATTTGTATTCTGTGTTTCTTCCAGTGTAATTTAAGGGACCTTCACCTGGATAGTCTATTCAGACTATCGGGAATCATCTATGGACTAAATCACCACATTGATTTAAAATATTTTAGGGCTATATGCAGTGCTCATTTTGAGCTGAATACAACTCATTGGTCAGTCAATGACTATTAGATTTGACCCTACTCACACCAGACTTTCAAGCCAGAGATTTAAATTCTCGGTTTTAAATAGCTTTATGCAGGACTGACTTTGAGCACTGCATATCTGTCAATCTGGCACCACTGAATAACTGACAAACTGGGACACCTGACAATCCCCTGGTGTGAGCAGGGATTTAACTTTGCTTACATCAAAACAGTAGAACCTGTCTTTACCACTAATGTCATCTAAGCCCATGCTGTGTAGAATGTACTGATCATTGCCTTCTCTTTTGTGACCTATGACCCATGCAGTGCAGTCGCCACAATTCTCTTATCTGATGCTTCACGTAGAGCTCTAATGAATCTAGTGCTTCTCTATAACTTTGGATATATTCGTTATCTACATGCTTGGGGTGATGCCGCACTTTCAAATATTGTTCAAATTATGAATAATGTTTAAATATTGTGTTGTTTACACAAAATGTTCCCTAAAACATCAATGTTTAACATATTATGAACTGCAGCCAGAATAGACCCTAAATAACCTACCAGAGGCTTCCTATTGAGAAGCCTCTGAATCAAACCTGGTCTGAGAAGGAGGTATGCTGGGACAGGCACGTGCGCTAACTTCTGTTAGCTCAAGGGAGCTAATGGAAGCAATAAGTAAACCTTCCTGGCTGCCTGGCAACCATGGGGATGTTTGACTAAGTATAAAAGTGCCCATTTCTATGACAAATTACAACTTTTATAAAGTGCCTTTGAAATGGGATACTCCTCACTCTTCTTTGCTTTGAGTCCTTTACAATTATGTTTTTTTGATGAACTGAAGGCTTTTTAAAGGGGACAGTCTAAACAAAATAACCACTACAACTTATTATAGAGGTTATGGTGCCAGCGAACCATCTTGCTTCTATTTCAAACTGTTTAACTAGAGGGGTCCATACTCCTTATATCCTAAAAAGAGACCGTCAGGTTTGTCCTTTAACGCATCTTTTCTGCTATTAAGAGAGTAAAAATTATTTTACTTGGTTCAAGCTGTTACTCCAAAACTTATCTTTTGTAACCATGTTATTTACTTTCAGTCAAATGTATGAGTATTCATATTGTGATTGAGAAGAATATTTTATGTTATCTTTCCCTCTTCATTTTAACTACACTTGGGGCGGAGGATTTTTTTTTTTTATTATTATTGATAATAATCGAAATTTCTCTATCTTTTCAGACGTTTTCAGTTGGGTGCAAGCTCCTTGCTTTGTATACTGCTAAAAATGGAAATTGTGTGTATGCAATCACGCCTAAAAATAACAACGAAGCCTCAGGTAGGAAGCGTCACCTTTATATAATTAAATCAAAATGTGAATGTATAGTTGCTAATTATTAATGTCCCTTTCTGGTTACGCACTAAAACTGAGCAGTTCATATTTCAGAGGAAATACTATCCATTAAACAGCGCAGATTGTAACTAATCAATAGCTCTTTTTTCCAGCATTACTGTTTTAACTTTGGCATTGGTGCTTGGCTGTCAACCGACTCTTCAGTTAATATATACTTGGAGTTGTATGAGGACAGTAGATTGATGGACAGCACAGATTTACATTTGGTCAGTGCTCATTTTGCATTCCTAGTAATTTCATAGTATTTTTGGTGTTCCATTTCTTTCTGCAGACACATTTCAGCTGATTTCAATAAAATTGCCAAAGTCAGTGGATCAGGAATGTGAAGTCACACAGCTCTCTGTAATATTTGACGACGTCAGTGAATCACCCAAGTGTACAGCCGTGGGAAGAGATGTAAGATTTATTTTGCTATAATTTTTTGTTGTGTGTGCTTTTTATTTCAGCCTGTAGAGTACATCTCAATGCTCCATTATCCATAGGACTAAACACTTATGAAAAAGCCTAAAACACTGTCATTAATAATCAGGGCTCTTTTTTTGTTGTTAATGGTTTGATTTGAATTGTAACACTCTTCTAATCAATTTTACAGAACTAAGGAAGTTTAGGTTGGCCCTTTCCAAGGGAGTGGGGAAAGAGGGAAAAGGAAGGGGGATCTATGCATCGTATTATTCAAATTAATCATGTTTAGCTACATCTTCTGTCTTTGTAATGTTTTTGATGCTTGATGTATTGTTATATATATATATATATAATATACATATACATAGCTTGGAGTTGTGGGGATGGATGATCCTGCCTATATACGCTCAAACTTACCTCCATACCGGGCCGACGTTGATTGGTCACTTCTGGTTCCGTTTTTCCACCAGAAAGCGCCAACTGCGACATATCCCGCTCACCTCCTGTCCTGGCATTGCCAGGGAAATTCCCCTTGGGTGGCACTCCTGGGCCCAGCGACAGTCAGAATTCCACACAGGCCTTGAGGAAGGCCCACGCACCGTGGAGCAGAAACTCCAGCCACGGCCATTTGTACACAGCCACTCCCAGCACGCTAAAGCCACTAAGCTTCCGGGGCATCCTCCTGAACTTCCAGGGCAGCGTCCAGGCGATCAGTAATCGGAAGTAAATATGAACGTGCCAAAACCACAGATCGGGTTTTGGCATACGCACGAACGCAACTCAGGGGGTACTTAAGTTACACACGCAATATTTTCTCACAAACTGTTGAAGCTCGCATATGAGTGAGTAAACTAACACGGGTTGAAACTACTCAAAACACACTTGTACTAACGCGTCAAAAGCAATACAAAACACACATTTAAACGAGTTAACACTAAACGCATACGCATGTATACGAACCAGCATTACATCACCAGTTGCACAGGCATCAGTACAGAAGAGACCACAGGCTGCTAGTCTCTCCTGCACATGACAGAAAACATTTCATTTGTCTCAAACAGTGTTCCAATGCTTCATGTAATAACACATGGCAACACCGCCACCTACTGGCACACTACACGGTATTAATCGGCGGGAAATGCAAATTGGTGGGAACGCAATGGTTAATAAGCTGGAATGGTTACAAAATAGACTCGCATTGTCCTTATTGTATTCACAGAATACTGTTCAATACTTATCGCTCATCAACTAGTCACTTTCAATTCTCTTGGATACACGGTACGTTAAAAGTTGGGCAGCAACTAGGGAGGAGGACGGAGGGAGAGGTCAAGTCACAATCTGGACAGTCAACTAAACACTTAGTAAGCCTCTGTCCTAGCTCCAAGTATTAATACGGGCATGCTAGGGGTTAATATCAGTATAAGAGCGTCTTGACATGTCATAAATAGGGTTAATTACAGTCAAAACTACTATCGGCCTACAGCACCAGCTCAAACGGATACGCAAGTGTCTACCCGTATACGCGATATGTACCTCATATATACAATCCGCAAACCACTTACCAGGTACAAAGCGTAATTTAAATAATATTAGCACTAAATATTGGAAATTAAGGTAAGCCTCATTTTAATACCCAGGAAAATAATTCCTGGCGGTTATACTTTTCGTTAAACATGTATATCAAGGCCTCACTCTGCCTGTTATGTTCACGGATCAGGCTTATTTAGACATGGCAGCGGACCCACGTTTGGTCCTCCTTATATTTTTACATCCATGTAGTGACTTCTATAGTACTATCTGCTTTCCAGCTTTTACAATTACTCCACTAGGCCACTGACAATTCTTTTAATTGGGTTACTATTCACTACTTTGGCAACCATTGAGGTGGGATTACAGGACATCCAGTGCTAATTATACCATGCAGGGATTAATACCAGCTCTTAAACATAGTATCTTCCAGGTGTACCCTTTCATTAATTTCGTTATCACTTCAGGTTACCGATCATCATGCAGTCACTGTAATACTATGTTGTCAAACATCAGGCGATGTTAAACTCACATTAGGCACATTTCAAATACATTGGTTACCAATCAAACACGACTATGTCAATCACTACAACTACGATTCAGATTTAACCATTTTGCATGTCTGCTAAAAGATACGGTAAACTAGAGTTTCCCACTTGTTTCATATTAACGTCGAGGCCTCACTCTGTCTTCATTACGAGTACTGAATACAATTCAAACCCTTATCATTTACCAGGAGCTTGCCTCTGCATGTTACTTTACGTTCAAGATATACATCGGTTTAATGACTTTCTGGCATGATATCTGTTTTCTGTTTAGATACATTACAACCGTAGACATTCTTAGGATACAGACTATTTGCTTTCCCAAGCCTAATTTTTGTCATACCGACACATCTTGTCTTTAAATTTAAAACCACAATCAGACTCTCCTCTTAACGTCCCGCTTACAAAAAGTGCAAATTTTTTTACCCGTCTGTTAGCAACTGCATTCTCCTTCTAATTTTTTGGTCCATACCACTATCGGTGGTATCATCAGGTTCCAGTCCTTCTCTCTCTGACTCTATCCAGTTGCTCACGCACATACGTTTACGTTAACACTCGTTCCGCGAGGCTCTCCACCTCTACACGGAGGTTTCGCCCAACTCCTAGTTAGTGCATACTCCTCTACAGGGTCGTAGTCAGGGCCTCACATGTCATGGCCACAAGTATTGACTCTTTTACCATCACCGACAGGCCAACACCCCGCTACAACACATTGTAGCTACAAGCCACACGGCCCAAATCATAGAGCCTCTCACAGCCGCTTGGCAACTAGCAGGACCTCACGATCAATAAGTACTCAGTGTGTTCGCTTATCGGCGCTAGTTGGCAACACAGCTCTACTTAAGGGATATTATTGATTTGTTTCTTTTTGTTTTGCATTTTTACTCTTCATTAATTCCCTTACAGGAGGCTGCAAGAAATAGTGCCTTGAGACGTTCTATAGCTATATAGACCCTGTCATCCCAGGTCCCCCGCAGAACTCTCTGTCCCTGCCACTCCCACGGCCTTGGACCTTGCTTAATTTTGACGGTTGAGCTACAAGTTAGGAGGCACCATCTTCACGGCCACAGCCGTAAAGGGCAAATATACCCGAACAAACTGGTCATGTCCTAGAGCGGCGCATGCCAGTAGTTCAATTAACTCACCATAGTAATCAGCCAATTTCAGTCATCCATAGCATCACAACGGTGCCTGTTTCCACATACGATACTAGGTCCTCCCTAAGCCATTTCGACTTTTATCATACATCATTCTAGTTAGTCCCCTAAATGGCCAGATGTCGCAACGCTGAAGTGGCGTTAGGCTTACACTTGGGTATATATACTCTGTTAAACAACATTAATTTTAACTGGTTAAACGTTCACCATACACATGCACCGACAATTCCACATAGGGTTTTTCTTCAAAATCAGGTTTTGCTTTAGATTTAGTTTTTCGTTACGTGAGGGTTGTTGGTTTTGGTAACTTCCAAGACGTGTTTAACAGGTTTACAATACTGCTGAAACCGTCAGTACAGCTTTATGATCCACATAAACACTTTAATCATAGGTTCTAATTGGCATCGCTTTAATTACCAAAAATTTCTGACTTCTCCAATATCACTATTCACTAATCAGCCTCCGGGCTATGCAATTTCAGTGTAGGCCAACACGGGCGTACGTATCAGGCAATTACCTGCCATCAATACGGTCTCGTTACAGGTTCACATTTCACATACAATCTATAGTTTAATCATTTTTAGAATTTTAGGTATGACACAATGCTGCATTGGTTTTCATCTCATGTCATATGCTGTTCAACGTGTGTATGACACCTGGTTGTTTCTGGTCATTTATACTAATCTTCCTTTTTGAACAGTATTACCCCAGTCGGCCACGTTACTTACCCCCAAATTGTTTTGCAAACGTATTTATAGGGTCGTCACTCAGATGTTTACTACAATTTTCATTAAACACCGTATGGGGCAAGTATTCAGCAGACTACACTTTCTCAACGTACAATGTACTCCTCCTGCTTTTATAAGGCATTTCAGTTATGACTTTTGGAGGTTACCATAGTTCACTAGCACCAAGTCTCGCCATGCCGGACTACCCTCATTACGGGTAAGTAGGCCTTCATGGCATCTACGCTTAGCTCGACAGATTAGGTTCAATCGATCAGGTACACAATAACCCTTTATTCCCGGGACGTCAAGAGACTTACTCTTTCTACTTAACCCAAGCATGGTCCACCCTACATATACATTCTACCATTTCAATCAATTTATGTGTTCATGCTCATTTACGTTCTTTCTCTACGTTTTTGGTCTAAGGGGAATTGACTTCTCTCACGACTGCCGGTTGTACAGAAGTACCTCACTTGTTCTCCCTAGGAGACATTAACTGGGCCATCTTTCAACAATACCTCCGCCCCTTTTTCGGGATCTACCCCATAGTGACAACACCTGGACACTCTTAACACAGCAGCTGACACCCCCTCTCGTTCTAACCCACAGGGTTCTGCAAGTACATCCCACAGCCTGCGAATCCCAAACAAACCACAACTATTCCAGGAACTCATCCTGGACAAGCAGTACTCTTGGTGTACTGGAGAATACTAGCACAAACTGCACTTTCAGCGAACACGAGGCGCTCATACAATCACGCTCTCATTGTCATCAACAGATTCCTTACCAAATACCAAATCAAAAGCCCGTTGACATTAGATACTATGGTGGCATTAATCTCATTTTGACTCCTAATATTATAGTCTCGCACAATACAATAAAACTAACAGGCATACAACACATCCCCCAATCACAGTACCTTTACGTCACCAAACACAATAAAACATTTTAAGATGCATCCTACGACTAGTAGGTCACAAACCCATGAAACGACAACCAATAGACGGCATAAAGTGCAGAACGTTATCCGACATATAGGATACGCAACCGTTCGAAACAGAAACAAATAAGACTATTAAAATCGCTATAATTATCGCCGCTTACGTGTTTTATGGCCTAGTGAATTCACAGTAGAGAAAGGCAAACGATACTACCAACATGCTAAAATAGCTGACCTAAACGAGGAGGGAAACACTATGTTTTGAAACCACGCCAATCTAAAAATCAATCCAGCGGGGCCGCCTGGCAACATACACCTGTTCCCCACTGGTAACAATGACACCCAGTTCAATTACTTGACCATTCTCACCTGGCCCTGATAGGTCAGGACAAAAGTGCTCCCCTACCAAGCTTACACAGTAACCCACTGACAATATCAATCATAGTATACATAGGAACTTTACTTACTAAATAATAGTTGGCGAGACGTCAGCTTTCACAGGCCATTCTTTTAATATAGGGGCAGCAACAACAGTCTCTAGTCAAAACGTACCAGGACACATAGTCAAAGACTGGGATGATGGAAATTGTCTGCATACAACCGGCAAACATTTAAAGAGTTAGCCGAATATTGAAGAACTGTCATATCTTCACGATCGTTAAATACAAATACATACGTACTAAAGGTGGTATGGTTGCCTTCTTTATTTACAGGCCCGCCCACCCGAACATCGGTTTCGGCACACCACAACCCGAATTTAGTTAATGTTATGGTTAACGTTTACTCTGTTTGTTTCCCTGACCACAAATATAAATATACACATATATATATATATATATATATATATATATATATATATATATATCTATACATATATCTATCTTAAAGGACCACTATAGTGCCAGGAAAACATACTCGTTTTCCTGGCATTATAGTGCCCTGAGGGTGCTCAATATTAAGTCAGCGCTGATCCCAGTAATCCCATCCTGCTCTCTGATACCTGAGCTGCAGACTACATGCTCCCTCACTGGAGGACCCGGGACTTTAACCCAAATAGATTACCAGCGATGATTGCCCCATCCCTGATGTCAGCTGTTCAGTAAAGGGGCAGAGCACACACATGTCACCCACAGCTAGCAAACATCACACATGTCACCCACAGCCAGCAAACATACACACATTACACACTGGCAGTGTGTACATCACAGACTTAGAGAGTGAGACACCCAGGGTTATTCACTAAACTTTTAATTTTCACCAATAAAATATGAATAGAAAAACTAAGGCGAAAGATTGTGACTGTAGATTGGATTGGAGATTTTAGTAACTAACCCTCTCAATGTCCAGAGGTCTGGCCAGTCTAGTATTTTAGATTATGATGTTCAAGTTGACTGAGCTACCACGTTAGTCCTTCGGACAAGTAGATTTTTAAAACATGTATTTATATTTTAACAGGCCAGTACTCTAAAATGTTCTTGGGTCATTGGCAGCAATGTCTGCCTGGTTAAAAAGAAACAAGGATATAGAATACAGAGGAAAACACAGTTCTAAAAGATTTGGCTGATAGGTACACATCAGTCATTATGCTATTTTATTTTTACAAATTATTTTTATATATATTCTGTTTTTAGGGTGAATATATTGCGACAGCCAGAGGACTTAACCTGTTTGTGTTCTATTTGAAAAGCAAAAAACATTTCAGGTAAGATACATTATGACCTTTCAATCCATTTGTGAATGCGAATTCTTGATTTACACCAATATTCATGTTAAAAAGAGGCAATTTGTGTGTTGAAATCATCTTTATTTTTTGATGTTTTTAAAGGATACCTCTAAGTGCAACCTCCAAAAAAGGCACCAATAACAACTTCACGGTTGTGACATGTCACCCAGAAGAAGACTGTATTGCCACAGGACACAAAGATGGAAGAATACGTCTTTGGTGAGTCCCTCATTTGACCAATAATGGTCTATTCACTAAACTAGGGATTGTGGAGAATTGGCAAAAGAATTGCATGTTATATGGTGAAATAGCTAAGCTGAAAAATTACAATAACAACTTCTTTAGTGACGGTATATAGATCCTTAAACATTAAATTAATTAAATTATACTTATGTAATCAAACTTAATCTTAAAGTGATCATAAAATGTGTTCATAAAACTGCAATTAATCTAAAAAAAAATGAAGAAAAATGCATCCTTCTTGACGTCATAATATATTGGCAATCAGATTTCTCCTTAGATTGACAAGCTGTTCCCACACATTTTAATGATATCCTCAAATGTTCTGTTTTTCTGACCTTCTAGACATACTATTCCTTAGCCCAAAATGCAGAACTGTGAATATCGTCTGCCATTTGCCTGCGCAGTCTCCTAAGTTATATTTGCTATTCTTAAAGTAAATCAGATATCGTTTTCCTAAATATGTTTGATATATTTGTGAAGATATGAACCAGTTACATTACAACATTGAATAACCACTTATACTAATGAACTATCACATCTAAAATGAGTATTGTTTGATGAAATAATTTATTTTTCCTAGGAGAAATTTTAACCACAAACAAGAGTACACATACACTTCCTTACACTGGCATCATGATGCTGTAATGGATCTGGCTTTTTCAGCACAAGGTCGGTATACTTTTATATTGAGAGAGATTTATTATATTACTTTACTCTTGTATTCCATCAGTGAACCACTTGGGGGCAGATTTCTATTAAAATGTATGTCTCCCACTGTTCTATTCTTGGCTGGAGAACTGTTTTGTTTACCCAGCCTCTAGTGGTGATCTAACCCGAAGAATTTGGGTTCCTTTTCCTTAGAGCTGAATCCTACCTCAGTTCTTCATAGAGGCATGACTTGTGTCTGAGAAAGGAGATTACATAGTCTCTGGTGTTAGCTAGAGAGTGGGACTGTCTTTGCATTATGTGTGTGAGTTGGTTAAGATGAATGGGTTCCTGCCTCTTAACGTTTAGATCCTGGTTCCATTTTCATTCTGATAACTTGATTGCTTATACATATAAAACTGTTCTATGACTAAAGTTCAGTTTCCACCTGCAGGAACAAAGCTGCTAAGCGGAGGAATTGAGTCAGTACTGGTACAGTGGCCTTTTGGATCAGAGAGCAATAGAGAATATCTGCCCCGTTTGGGAGCAGCAATTGAACACATTTCCACTTCCCCTGATGGATCTCTGCTCTGCACATCACATGTCGATAACAGTAAGTTCAGAGCTAATGGATGCAGATACAATGTGCTCCATTTTCTATTTCGTGATTCTAAAATCAGTTAAACCTTTGGTAATATAATCTATGTTTTGATTTAGGAATAGTGATTTACTACCTGACTGATGTTTTTGTCTGATAGACATTTATATGGGTGGCCAGAGGGTGTCAATATGTTTTGCTGGCATGCAGCTGGAAAAGCATCATGGGAATTGAAGTTCCACAAAAGCAGAATATCTATTTGTTACCCAAATCTGGCATTGCTGTTTTTTTCACCCACCATATTCTGCATGTGGCATAGCATTTTACAGCAATAAATCTGATACTCCTTTGTTTCCCATCCCTAACAATTAAACATCTATCTTGCAAACCCAGTTGTAGAGGATTAAATACCAATTCATTTCTTTCACTGTATTGGTATGATTAGCAACAGCAGTTTTACAGCCATAGATCAAACCTTTAGAAGAGTTTACTTTCTGCAGGGCTTGCATCAGTTGTACATTCCTAAGATACATAAATCTCGAAATGTGTGTAGTTTTGTGTAGACTAAAATGTTTTCTTTTCTTTTGATCACCACAGAGATCTCGATCATTAATGCCAGCTTGAGAGTTTCTGCTATAATTCAAGGCATGGTGAAAGGTAAAAGTACTGTTGTTGAAACTGTGTATTTTCTTTCTTTTTTTTATAGAAAAGAACCATAAATACTGGAATGTTCGTAAAGAAAGGAAATACCTAGGCACACCTGAGGTTACTTCTAAAAGGCAGTCTTTATTTGAAACAATTAAGTGGAGACAAAGTTTCGGCTCCTACCTGAGCCCCTTTATCAAGTCACACTTGATAAAAGCTCAGAGAGGAGTCGAAACATCTCCACTTCCTTGGTTCAAATAAAAAGAAACTTCCTTTTAGAAGTAACTTCGGGTGTACCTGAATATTTATTTTTTGCCATTTGATGTCTTCAGGTATTGACCCTCCCTTTCTGGAGCACGTATTCCTGCTTTTTTAGTGTGTGCATTACACTCTTGTTAGATTTGTTTGTTTTGTTTTTTTGTCGTCAAACAACCGTACTAATGTCCCAGGCCGTTTTCTGTTCACTTGTGCAGTTAGCCTAGCTGTGTTCTATACATATTCTGTGTGTTCAGTCACACAGCTACATAGTTTATCATTTTATAAATGCACATCATCGTATACATTGTAATTCCTTTGTTAAATGCTTTTTCTCATCTTCTCTTAATCCTTCTCTGTTGTTGAACCTGCTGGTACAACTTTTCATTCTCGCCCATGGAATGGTCTTCTATTTTTATTTTATTTTTCTGTACCTTTTTCTTGTATTCCTGTCCTCTCCCTCACCCCCATATAGTAAGGTGAACACTATAGCTTTAGAAATGATAGCATCTCCACTACAGGTAAGATTGACCGATCTTACATCTTGCAGCACTCTGGTCTTGATGAGCCAATCGAATGAATCCTCCAAAAGGAATTATTTAGAGGCTAGATTGTATGCCCAGCAAAACATTGCACTATGCCAATCAAATCCTCTCATGGAGAGTTATTTCAACTATAACCAAGTTTAACTTAGTCATAACTGTGGAAGCTATGTGCAATATATGTATATTTGTATTTTTAGTTTGTTTTTGTACAAGATATTCCTTGAAGATATAGGTATCTATTTGTGCGCACCAATGTTTTGTTGACTTTTATTTTATGTAACATAGAATGTGACGGCAGATAAGAACCATTCGGCCCATCTAGTCTGCCCAATTTTCTAAATACTTTCATTAGCCTGGCCTTATCTTAGAGTTAGGATAGCCGGATGCCTATCCCACGCATGCTTAAACTCCTTTACTGTGTTAACCTCTACCATTTCAACTGGAACGCTATTCCATGCATCCACTACCCTCTCAGTAAAGTAATACTTCCTGACATTATTTTTAAACATTTGCCCCTCTAATTTAGGATTATGTCCTCTTGTTGTGGTAATTTTTCTTCTTTTAAATATAGTCTCCTCCTTTACTGTGTTGATTCCCTTTATGTATTTAAATGTTTCTATCATATCCCCCCATCTCATCTTTCCTCCAAGCTATACAAGTTTCCTGTTAAGTTTTATCCTACAATCCATGTAATAACTGTGGATCAACTTCTAGTTGCTGTTTTCCTGATAGCCGCTAGAGTTGTGTTAACCCTGCAATGAAAACATTTCCGTTACTTCAAAAACAGCAATTTTGTCAGTTGCATGGTTAAAACCACAGGGTCTGGCAATCAGACCACATCATTGAGATAAAGTGGTCTGGGTGCCTCTAGAGTCACTTTAAGTAACGTAACCTCTACAGCCTACTGTAGTGGTTATGGTGTCAATATGTCACTGTCACCCTTATTCCATTATATGTCAAACCGAGGTGCTGGACAGCAGCACCCAGAGGATCCATGAGTTGTATCAAATCTGTTGAAAACGGTTTGATATATAATTGGGAGATGGCACCAGGGTCATGCTGGAAGCATAACCACTATTGAGTGCCTTTAAGTTCTGTCTTTGTTAAACTTAGCTTGCACTTTACACTCACGCTGTTCCCTTTCGTCTTTTCTAGGAAATGACGTCAAGACGGGCCTGACAATCGACCCCAGAAGCAAAGCCTTGGTACTCAATGGCAAACCTGGTCACCTGCAGTTCTATTCCCTACAGAACGACAAGCAGCTCTACAATGTAAGCTTCCAGTACTGAGCCATTATCATTTAGCAAACCGAACATATGCAAATCTAGTTATTAATTTGATGTAATACTTTTTTTTCTGACACAAAACAAGATGTTTTACATTATTACTATGTTACTATTTTACTTGTACTATATTTGACTGATTCAAAATATAAGGTTATTGATGTCTGTGTCCGCAGTTGGATATTGTGCAGCATGAATTCGTCCAACAAGCAGGGCTGCAATACTTTGATTTGGTCAAAGCTGTATTTAGCACTAGAGGTGACTGGTTAGCGACAGTGGAAGAATTACAAGGTCAAGATATAGAGGGTCTTGAAATGCAGCTCAAGCTATGGGAGTTTGAAGACAAGTCCCAAAGGTAAGCATATGCTGTGTGTGTATTATTAGAAACTAATCAAGGACAATTTATTAGCTTTATTTTAAATATCTGTTGCGCAACACCAATCTTCACTGCATGATCAAAAGTATGTGAGAACCTGCCAATCGAACATATCAATGCAAAATTATGAGGCGACGTATGGAATTGGTCCATAACGTCCCCATACAATTATCCCTCCTTTACCAAACTTTACATTGAATACTGGAGGTTGTGTTCTTATTGTATTCCCATCTACAAAACCCAGATTCTTCAGCCAAACTTCCAGTTGTTGGGGGTTGGTGGTTGTTTTTTTGTTTTGTTTCTTTTTCTTAGCGCTACCCAGTTACGGTGCAATCAGTATATTGTGTCGGGAAGTGGAACATCACACCACAGCATCCCTCACATTGTGTACTTTTTAGGTGTTAACCATGAGTATAGTGTAAGCTTAGAGCCTAGTTTTGTGTTTTTTTTCTGCCTTTGTTTGAATGTTTCTGGTTAGATCAGAGGAGAATGCCTTTTCACTCCTTTTAAATTCAAGGATACTTTAGCAGTTTACTTGCTGGAAAATCCTTATTGTGAAGCGCCTGAAAAGTCAGTTTGGCTTTTACTTACTTTTACAACTAATGAAACACATGTTTGTTTGTGCCATTAAAGGAACACTATAGTCACCTAAATTACTTTAGCTAAATAAAGCAGTTTTAGTGTATAGATCATTCCTCTGCAATTTCACTGCTCAATTCACTGTCATTTAGGAGTTAAATCACGTTGTTTCTGTTTATGCAGCCCTAGCCACACCTCCCCTGGCTATGATTGACAGAGCCTGCATGAAAAAAAAACTGATTTCACTTTCAAACAGATGTAATTTACCTTAAATAATTGTATCTCAATCTCTAAATTGAACTTTAATCACATACAGGAGGCTCTTGCAGGGTCTAGCAAGCTATTAACATAGCAGGGGATAAGAAAATCTTACTTAAACAGAACTTGCAATAAAGAAAGCTTAAATATGGCTCTCTTTACAGGAAGTGTTTATGGAAGGCTGTGCAAGTCACATGCAGGGAGGTGTGACTAGGGTTCATAAACAAAGGGAATTTACTCCTAAATGGCAGAGGATTGAGCAGTGAGGCTACAGGGTCATGTTATTTACACCAAAACTGCTTCATTAAGCTAAAGTTGTTCAGGTGACTATAGTGTATCTTTAACTCATGTGATTCCAGAATGCAGAAATAGGTCTTTGAGTGGATAGGTGCACCATATATATTACACACTAGGTGACTACTCTGTGGTCTTGCAGCTTATCTTTTTTTTTTTCTTTCTATAAAGCTTTGTTTTGAACACCACAATAAACATGCCACACGAAGATCAGGTCACCTGCTTGTGCTTCCAAGATTCAGAGATAGATTCCCCAATCTTGGTAACAACAGGGAAAGATGGTCTTTTCAAAGTCTGGATGCTACGAGACGACTCTGACATATACAGTAAGTCCATATGCCTGCATATTTTCAAATGAGTTTTTAATAATAGACTGTTTTCAAATATTTTCCTTCAAGTGCCTCTAATCATTTTTGTCGGCTCTTTAATAGCCGCAAAGATTAATGGGACATGCTAGGCGATACAAACTAAGCGGCTCATTGTTGTGCAAATAGAAGCTTGTACTTTGTGTTCACTGTACTTTCCTGGACCCTAGTTGTTTCCACTGGTCATTAATCTACATAAAACTAATGTAGAATTTCTCTGGTAAGCATTAATGTGACATGTGTATCAAATAATGCTTAGCTTGTATGCTTGATCACTTAGTCCTTCTTGTCATAAGTAACAACTGAATTGTATCCACAGATCTGTGGGCATTTTCCTCTAAAAATGCAGTATACTGTTCGAACTGTAGGTGGTGTTCTATGACTGAGATAACAAAATTTTATATAACTATACTTCAAAGTTAAACTTTTATGCCATATTACATTCTTTTTTTTATGTCTGTAATCTTGAATAATTTTATTTTTGTGCATAAAGCTTGAATAATTATTTTGTGCAACATTTGTGACTTTAGAAATTGGGTGACTACCATATTTGCAACTGTAAAACGATATGTTTCCCCTATATTTGCTTTTCTTTAATAGATTCATTCCTTCTAAAATCATAGTTATATTTGCATTTAAACAGATACTCTAGCTCCATAATGTGTACTCCTAAGCCAACCACTGCCATACACACACTACCACAAGTCTTCTTTCCCCTGGCTATACAGTTTATTCTGCACCTGCACCTTGTTTAAAGGGCCACTCCAGTGCCCAAATACAAAATAAATGAAAATCACTGCTTAGTAGATATAACTCAAATGAAAACGTGCATGTATTTAATTATGCATTTTTTATTAGGTGTGTATATAAAGTTTGCAAACCCTGTAGATCTTTTGTCTTCTGCCCTTGAAAGTCCTCCTGCTCAGTGTTCTGGTGGGAAACTTTGGATCCTGGCATTCATGTAGATGTTCCTTTTACACCTACCACCTACTTAGAGATTGTTGCAGACCACATACACCCCTTCTTGGCAATGGGGTTCCGTGATGGCAGTGGCCTCTTTTAGAAGGTTAATGTACCCTGTCACACTGGAAAGATTATTAAGGAACATGACAAAGAGTTCAAGATTCAAGTCGCCTTGGCCTCCAAATTCCCCACATTTCAGTCCAACTTGATCATCTGTGGGATGTGCTGGTGCAACAGATAAAATTCATGGATGCCCCAGTGTATATTTTTGCATGTCTACTTTGTTGAAACTCATGGGCCACAAGGTGTTGTATAAATAAACTGTAACAAGAAGCAAATTAACATTTTTTTTCCGTTCTTTGAACTCCAGAGGAGAGCAGTGGCTGGATCTGTGATTTTGTTGGCAGCTACCACGGAAACAAGGCCACAAACTGCTGTTTCTCTTCAGATAGTTCACTGCTGGCTGTCAGCTTTGAAGAAATTGTCACTGTCTGGGAAACAAACACGTGGGACCTAAAAGAGACCTTTTGCCAACCCCCTGGAAAAATAAGGTTAGATCCTAGTCTTTAGCTTTTCTATGCTTTGCTCAGCCTTTTAGTACTGACACTAGTGTAAACAAACATTAAATATATTCTTTATTTTACTTTAATATTACATTGCTTGACTCAGGTAATTAAGGATACTTACAATGACCTTCACTGGCCCTGGGCAGACTAAACACAAATATGGGAATATCGTACATTTTATTAGGTCTGTGATGTTTGGAGAATTTTGAATCAGGCTGTGCAACTTAGTTTGTCTGATGTGCTAATGCTTATTTATCCCGCAGAAACCTCTGCTTTGGAAGAATGACGTCCGCTAAATACCTTCTTGCTTCTACGGATGATGGATTCATAAACTGCTGGAACTTGCTCACATGTGCATGTAAGGATATTGTAGGCTTTGTCATAATACTTTTCTTTTTATTTCCTCCCCAAGTGCTGAAAATCATTGGTCTAGCTCAGGGGTGCCCAAAATGTAGATCCCCACATGTGTTCAAAGTACAGCTTCCATGATGCTTTCTCATAATAAAGCATGTAAAAAGTACGCAAAGCATCATCGCAGTTGTTGTTCTACAACGTCTGGGAAACTAAATTTTGGGCACCCCTGGTCTTGGTAGCATTGCAATTGTGCGATGCCTTGCTTATGAACCAATTAATAATCATCTAGTGAAGTTCATAATTTGTGATGTAATGGTTAGTCCAACCATTCTGGAGAAAGCCTTTGTTGAGATTATTTTTATGTTTTAATATATTTTGTGTGTATGTTCTTACTATCCCTTAGTAGTACAAACCGTAAAAACCATGATGTTATCTTTTGTCTTCGTAATGGTGCACATCTCACTGACTCTCAAAGAGTTCATGGGTTGATTCTATCTACTTTGCTAAATGTAACACATTTATAATAAATATAACACTAGAAACATACTTTCTTTTGAGTGCTAAATCCCCGTGTAGTATTAATCACAAGCAACTCTGAACCATTCATTTTTTTTCCAGGTCAGATTAAATTTGGCCTCTAGTCACGTGAAAGTAGAAAAGGTTTCTGATTGGTTGAAAGGCTTTGTTTCCATGGGAAGATGTCTGTAAATGTTTATGGTCATCTTACGCTGGTCATGGTGGCTATCACAGATAGTCTACATTACTGTTTCTTACAAGACTTCTATACTGTAAAATTATTTGGGGACTGCACTAAATGATGGCTTTATTAAGCAATTCATCCTGTCTCTTACTAATGGTATTTCAACACAATGTTGGGTTGCTGCTATTGACTGGGGTTCATTTGGTTGTGTGCTGCACTACTTTATCAGAATATCAAAATTTCTGAAACCTGTTTTTGTCGCCAGTAATTTGAAAAGCTGATTTTAAAGGAGGGCTTTACAGTTCTGCGGTTTATTGACTTGGTTATTTTCGTGTTTTTTTTAGGAAAATTTTTAAAAATGCTTACAAGCAGAACTGTTACTTCTCTAAAAGATGCAGTTCCTCATTTCTCACCCCAGTAAATACTTTTAAAGCATTTGTTGGGATATATAGTTCTGCAGAGGTATGTTTAAAAAAAAAAAAAAAAAACTCAGTGACATATTTGTGCACTAATGAGGAGGATGGCACTCTGCCTTTTGGATGTAGGTGCAGCCATCAAAGGTCCTGCGCCAGGCCCATGTAATCCAAAATCAATAAAGAGAAGATCTGCAATTTTCTGAAACTACAGAAGTGATGTTTCTTTTCTGCACTATCACTGTGGACTTGGTAACATTTACACCACTTAAACAAACACTCCGTGTACCATAACAACTTCATCTCAATGGTGCCTGGAGGTCCTTGGCGCCATCTTACCTGTGGTTGCATGAGGTTTAGCTTGAATCCTTTCTCTACGTCCCTCTTCCACCATCACCTTCATTCCTAGCTTCAATTTAAATGCTTTTATACTGGACACTGGTTGTAGGCTGGTAATAGAGAAGAGGTCCAGGCACGATTATTTGAACATAAGGAACACTGCGATGTTTCGACTCAAGATTGTGTTTTTTTGTTAAGGTGGAAATGTTGCAGTGTTCCGTATGTTCAAATAAACATGTCTGGATCTCTTCTCTATTACTGTTTTTTTTTTTTTTAATCTATGTTGGGCTTGTGCTGGCCCAAAGTCAAGTTTAGCACCCTAATTATGTGGATTCAGTGTGGTTCGAATTGGTACCAGTGATAGGCTGTCATTCTCCCATTGAGCAAAAAATGTTACGAATTCTTTTCAATGGGAAGCCAAGAACCGCATCAATGAGATTTAGTTGTTATGGTGCCTGGAATGCTCCTTTAAGATTGTCAATCCTTGATCATGAGCGAACACATCAAACAATTTCATTCCACAGTGTGAAATGCCTTTATATTCCAGATTTGTAAAAAAAAAAAAAATATCCATTTGTTTTATTTTTAATTTGCTTAATGAATATCTCCACGTAACAGCTGCTATATTTTATACTGCAATCCACGCAGTATCACGAATGCCACAGAGACAGAATCTGTTCATTTGAGTCACAAGGCAACCCATTTGAATAATATATACTATAAGCTGATCGCTCAAGGTTTTTCACGAGAAGTTTTAAAGTAACAATAAAGTCTTGTAAAACATGTACTGTGCACTTTTTGGTGTGTGCATATAGCATGTGCTCAAACTTTAACAACCATTTTAATAATCCGTATCTGTGCTATAGCTCACGTGTTCTTTAATACTTACCAATATGAAAGAAAAGACAGTGATGAAATCAAAAAAAGATGACAGATTCAGTATCAATTGTCTGTAAAACCTAAACGTACGTGTCGTTTTCTATACACTATACATGTGCTAGTTAGGATATCACACTTTTATTCCTTTCTCTTTTGTTATGCTATGTGTTTGGTTTTTTTCTTCCTTATATGCTTAGTACCCTTAAATCAGGGCTCAACAAGTCCAGGAGATAACCGCAGTTTAAAAATTGTTGCTGGTGCTTAAAATGTTCGTTTATGGTCAGGATAAATCAATAGTTCTCTTTTTATATACATTCGCTGATATCGTTATTCTCTCTTTTCTCGTCACTGTTGAAAAATCAGATCATCCTGTACAAGTAAATATCTGTTACAATAAATGATTTGCCTAATTCTGGTCATAAACGGTTTACCTAATTCTGCTCCTGAACGGGTTAAAGTGAAATTGTCACATCACTAGAAATGACAGTTCCTCAATTATTAATAGAACAAAACGTGAAAAAGGTCCAGGCACTCCAGAATTCAAAAAAGGCAATGTATTTAACCCACAGCCAAGTCACAACGTTTCGACCTATACGGTCTTTATCAAGCTTGATTGTGGGTTAAATTAATTGCCTTTTTTTGAATTCTGGTGTGCCTGGACCTTTTTTAAATTTTGTTCTATCAAGCAATTGGTTTCCTGCAATTGGTTTAAATGTTGAATTAACTACTTACTTGGGTTAGTAGTGTAGTGGAGGTATAGGCACCCAGACCACTTCAGCTCATGGGGAGGTCTTATGCGCGCACATCATTTGGTGTGCATGCGCGTTAGAGCTTGTTCATCGCGGGGAGGGGAGCTATAGTACCAGGAATACAGCTTTGGATTCCTTGCACTACAGTATCAATTTAATGTGCTGCTTATATAATTACTTTGTTTTTGTATTTATTGTAACTCGTTTTTTCAGCAACATACATACACCTGTTTTTTTGGTCTGATGTGCTAAAATCGTACAGGTAGCAATTCCACTTTAATTGAACAGTAGCATAGATTGTATTAAGTTATGTCTGTGCAGATATGCAGTTTTGTTTCCTTGGCCATTTTTAATGTATGTTTAATTTTTTTTTTTGTTTTTTTTTTTACACAGTAGAGTGGAGGGCCCAGCTCAATGTATCCATTCTTCTGTCTGACTCTTCTTCAGAATACATTGCAGCCTTCTCCTGTGGTTCGGAAAGCACCAACTGTAAGTGAACTGCAATCTGCCCAAAGTTTTAGTTATGCATTATATTAAAATAACTGATCTATTTATGACCACCAAAGGATGAAAAAAGTGTTTTAATTAACACGCATGTAGATCTTGTGCTAAATGTATGGTATTTAAATTATTTATTTGTAGTCACGTGTAGAATTATTTTGCAGGTACCTTAAAATATATAGTCAAATACGTTCATATTTTGTAATACATAACTATTCAGTTTACTGATTGGAGTTATTTTAATGTCAGCTCAATACCTGCCAGACAGGTCTGAATTTCTATGATAGTGGCCATACATTTGGAAAACTCTAATGAGGAACTACTACATTTGTTATTTGAGGTTCTGTATCTTATTCCATATTGTTATATGGTTTAATCTGTAAGAAGCACACATCTAGTGCAAGGCTTAAAATGTCATGTCTTTCACCACTGGAAGCCTGCTGGGTCCTTGTCACAATCTCTTGGAAAGAAGTTCAACTCGCAAATGGTGAAAATAGTTTGACTGCTTATTTGGGGTCCTGCAGGCACTCACTGACACCTCTTTTGGCATATCTTGGACGCAGCTTCCGTTTGCTCCCACTGTGCTGTGCCCAGTGATCAACCCCCTGCACCACTAGCTAGGCTCAGTGCAAAGCTCTTGTGGCTGCATGGAAGGCAACCGCGTGCACCCAGTTAATCCCCGTAAGTTGTCAAACTTTTCTCAAACAGTTTGAATACTAACTCTTGAGAGGGCGCCAGGGCTGTGTGGTTAGTGGTTACAACATTCCTTTAATGTTTACCTTACTATATTTTAGTTAACTTGGATAGTTAGCATTAATTTCACAAACATGGTTTTAAATTCGCTGTTTAGTATATGTATGTGTATGCACATTTCTAATTGCATTACCTATCTTTTTAAAGCTAATTAACCAGGATTTTTAATATTGTTTCTTTATCCCCTATATTCAACAAATATGTGTTTTGCTAGTCTGAAAAATAAATGTAAATGTACAGATCACACACTGTTCTGCATTACAAGCCTTGCATTACTTTTTTCAGTGTTTGTTTTCAAACCCGATAAGCCCAATCCAGTTTATATCCAGAAGGATGTCTGCCGTGAGAAAGTGCAGTGGGCAGTTTTTGTACCAAGGGACGTGCCAGAATCTCTTCATTCAGAAAGCCATCACTGGCTAATCCGGTCACAACTGTACTTTCTTACAGAAAACCAGGTAATGCTAATTGTATGCTTTCATTAAAGGAAGTGACATTTTGATGTTTATTAAAAATGTATTATTATTTTATTTTAATTTTTGGTAACCAGTTGACGAGTCTCTACATTTGGAAAAGTTGAGCTGAACCTTAATGTGTGTCACTATTTCCTTGTAGGAGCTGATGACTTTTAGCACAGAATCACCAGAAGAGAAACTCACACCTTTAAGCAAGCAGGTAACCTGACACAGCTTTACAGAAAGAGATTTCTTGCATCATGGGAATGTGTTGAACCTTCACCTTAACATTTTCTTTTTTGAGTCGTAAACATGTTCTGCTGACTAAGGCAGGAAGAGACTTGTGCCAAAGCATGATCATGCCAAAACACAATTATATTAATAAATTAAGCAAACACAGTCCTTTCTGGAAAAGTTAATCTTTTTCCAGCTAATTGTGTTTTTGGGGGGTGGGGGATGAGGGGGTTACATTATATTCCATACCATGCTTTCATGTGGACAGTACAATAATTAAAATATATTGAAGTTTCACTATACAGAACTTAGTAGTATATTTATAGATATCTCATTTAAAAAATATTTAAACTATAATTTTAGTGAAACTTCATTTTTGTATTGCTTTATCTAATTTGTAATGGTACAGTATTTTGATTTTAATTGCTTAGGGCTCCTGAAATAAGGTTTATAGTGTAACAATAAATGAAATATTATGTATTGGGAAGTTTCAATCTAAATCATGTTTTGACAGTTTTCCATATTGTTAATTAATATTTTAATATAAGATGCCAATACGGCTAATCCAATCTACACTAATATTGTAATATAGCGACTTGGATCATAAAATACAAATGAACAACTTTGTTCTATTTAGGAGTCCATCGTGTTTACTTAAAATGCTTCCAGTTGATTTTATTAGTAAGAACAGAATTCTCATAAAGGAACACTCCAACCACAGAGCACTTCAGCTTGCTTAAGTGCTTTATGTATGAGTATATACTATTTGTTTCATTTTATTAAAGTGCTGATATTAATGGAAATCTGCATTTTTATAAATGAACACTGGACACAGTGCCTGCTTTTGAAAGACTGTTAAATTAGCTGTAATAAAGCTCATTGGGAAGTCTGTGATTGGATTGGGCAACCATGCACACATTCAGAGTGAATTTAAAGTAAGTTTCAAATTTAATGTCAAACTAGCTGGACCAGAAAATGATCTAAATCAGCTGTGCTCCAAGTTAAGCTACTTTGGCCTTAAATTGCAAATTCACTTTGAATTCTCACTTTAGTGAATAAACCTGTTAAACAATGTGTTCTTTGATGGCTGCAGAGAATAAAGTGTTTGTGTTATGGAACGTATCTGCGGTAGTTTTGATTCCATAAAGCATTCTAAATATTTAATATATATATTTTTTTTTTTCTTTGATGTAGTTGGCAGTTGAAGAAAGCATGCCTGTTACACCTTTTCACATACTGCTGGGCAAGAGGCGGCAACAGGAGCAGGATTTGGAAACAGAAAAAATCTCTGCAGGTAGCCACAAAGCTCAAGGAGTAGTTGCAATCAGAGAGGTAAGTGGCAATGGGAAATGTATTTTTGTTATTTTTGATCGGGCTACTGTATCCTCACGCACAGACTTTAACCCCTTAATGACGGACCCAGTCCATCATACTGGGTAAGCACTTAACGACGTATGACGACCGGGTCCATCATGCAGTAAAATGAACCCCAGATCGCAGGGTTAATGCTCCTCTGGTCTGCAATGGTACTCGAGGCAGACTGGGAGCACCCGATCGTGCTGTCCCTGCAGCTGTGATCGCTCTGACAGGCTGTCAGAGCGAGCACATGAGCTGCAAGGACTCCTGATCCACCTCACTGTGCTTTTATTTTTTTTAATCCTCAGGGGTTCAATTTATTTTATTCATTAATTTAAATATTTTAAAATGATATATTTTGCTAGCTGAGGTGGGTGGAAGTTATGGGAAATTGCAGAATTTACTGTTAGTGCTGCTCACTGCTAGCTTTGAGTTAACGGTAAAAAAAAAGTTTGTAAAAAAGTTTTAAGAAAGTTTAAAAAAAATACATTTAAAAATGGTCATTACCATTACACCTGGAACAAACTAGCGAAAAAATGATCCCACGCTAAGGTTCAAAATATGCCTTTTGAATAACACCAGGGTGTATTCTTTAATAAATAGTAAGTGTTTGTGGGGAAGATTGAATAACCACCTAAACTTCTCCGAAATGAAACATGGACACAGCATAAAACTTCATGGTTAGAAAAAACTGGCTGCTTCTCAAATATGCTCCTTCAGAATCCACATATACCTGGCAAAGGTACATACGGGGGTATTGCTGTACTCAGCCGACATAGCTGAGCAACATATGAAGTATTAACAATTACAGTTGTAGCACACATACGATTTGCAAAATATACTGTGCAAACTCACTTTGTGTGTCAAAAAGGCAGAAAAAAAATGCTTATTACCACTACACTTGGTACAAGCTAGCAGAAAAATGATCCCACACTAAGGTTCAAAATATGCCTGTTGAAATACCCTGGGATGTCTTCTTTAAGAAATGGTATGCCTTTATGGGATAGTTGGAATATGTAGCCTGCTCAAGTGCTCCAAAGTGGGACACGGACCCCACAAAACCCTCCATGAAAATTCACACTTAAAAACCTGAACTTGTTACGTCTCTTTTATAGCACTGTAACTTCACAAAATAGTGTGTAGATTATACATTGGACATATGGTTTTGCTCAGAAGATGTAACTGAGCATAATTTGTTTTTTTTATGACAGTGGTAAACATCAAGTGAAATACTCCGCAAAAATGCAACATATGTGTAAAAATGCCATTTTTTTCCCCTCACCACAAACCTAGACATAAATTAGTGAAAAAATGGGGACAAGTTATGGCACAATATATGCCATATAAGATACCCTGGGGTGTCTGCTTTATCAAATGAAAGCCCTTTATGGGGTTATTTGAATACTCACACTGCGATAAAACCCTAAATTGAGACATAGGCCTGTCAAATCCATCTACGAATATTCTAACTATAGAAACTGAAATAGCCTTGTCTTTTATGGCATTGTAGATTTACAGAACAGTGCCACAGGCATACAATGGTAGTATCGTTATACTCAGCAGATGTAGCTGAACACAATATGGGGTTCTGTGCAGGAATAGCACACACCAGCTTTACTAAATACACATCACAAAAACCTTGTTATATATGTGTATGCCAAAATAGAGAAAAAACACATTTTTACTCCATTATTTAGCAGAGATTGGCGATGAAATGGCTACGTAAAAAGTGTCAAACTAACCTTAGGTAAATAGCCTGTGATGCGGGTGTGGGGGTAGGTAGAAATCTATTAGTATTAGTAGTTGGGTGAAAGACCAGTTTTGGTCTTTGAGCCTTTTGGTATATAGCGTGGGAATTAGGGAGTTATTTACTAAGCGAGGCATGAATAGGATCGCAATTTCATTCATTCAAATGAAATTCTGATCCGAACAGAAACTACTGAATGCCATTCGAACACAAATGAACAAACTGTTCATTCTGTTAGTACGGAGTTCAGTAGTTTCGCCGGTGTCCTATCTTTATGACAGGACACTGGGGAATAGTGAAAGGAGGCATCGGGAGTTTAGGTGAGAATTGTGGGAAAATTCCTTTGATAGCGAGAAGTGGGTCAAAGCTGGTCAAGCATAGGAAACCTCCATAAGACAAAGTAGTCCCTAGAGCAAACTAGAGCAGACAGGAAGAAATGAACAGATCCTGACAGAGGAAGAGAAGAGGAATCGATTGGGGAAAGGTAAGTTCGGCATGACAGTGCCGCTTTAATGGTTGATCAGAGCCAGAGCTAGACAAATGACTAGCTGTAATTTATATAAGGAGATAGTCAACAAGTCTGTATGTGTGTGTATATGTTCACTGATGAAATAACTCTTTGGAATTAGACCCTAAAAATCTCATATATCTTATTTCAAATAAATGATCTCATAAGGATAGAAACTCTCAAAAACAGAAAGTATTGGTTAAATTGACCTTTGTAGGAAAGTGATCAAGCCTAGGTGAAATCTCACAGTTAAGTTTAACCTTATTACAGGTATCATCTAGCCAAAGTAAAGGTTATCTTCTGTGGAATAATTATCTAGCTCAAATGAAATTTCCCAGATACAAACCATCTTATTCTTAAAGATGTAAGAAAATATAATCAAATGAATATTAAAATTCCCATTAAAGAGAGTATTATAATTTCACTAAAACACCTGTAGCAAAGAGCTGTAGTAAGCTCCAATTTAGTGTGCTATAGATCAAATTCACCGTAATTGTTATGCTAACTAAATTATAAGCAAATAGACTACTGCTACAATTAGGGTGCACATAGTGATCGTTTGAGGATTAGTCTGATTCTCATTTAAATTGAGAAAACAAACAAAATCCATAGATCACACATTTGTGTTGGAATATAGATTGTAAAGGTCACTGTATCTGGAGAAATATAGCCTTACAAGGCTTTATGGCAAATGAGATTAAAATAAATAACCTCATAAATCAGACAAAATCAGATGAAACACAGCAACGGTCAAATAAGATATAATATTAACTATAAATATTACTTGTGATCAAGATGTATAATAGAGTGAGATTAAAGTGGGCCAGCTATCATGAAATTAGATTAAGAAATGGTGACTGGATTAGTAGAGCAGTTTAGATGAGTTTTTATAGATAAGTATAATTTCTGATCTTTGATCTCAGAAATGGGCATTTATCAATGTTTAACATATTTTTTTTTTCCTCTTCAGCTTCTTCATACTCCTGCACATGTTTTACCTGCTGCATCAGTCTTGTGCACAATGTTTGTGAATTCATTGTTAATCTCAAAACAGGCTAAAAGGTAAACCTACCAACACAAATTTACATTAAAATTGATACTGGAGATGGTTCCTACTATACTGTAAATAGTGATTTAAAAAAAATTAAATGAGGACTGAACGTTTATCATTGTTATGAACAATTTAAGCGTCAGAACTATCATAACTTATTGTAGTAGTTATGATGCGAGGAGTTTTAGATGAGTTTCTCTGTTCTCTGTTAAAACAGAAAACTGGGGCTTTCCTGGTACCCTAGCTCCCCATCTGTCAGTCACGTGATGTGGGTATTTCACATCCATCTTATCTTTCCAAAGTTTTTTTAATCCTTAGATGCTTAGGTTAAGCTTCAGGCAGGTTACCCCAGTGACCACGGCCTATCATTGCTGTCTGGTGCTGGATGTACATATTATTTGTATGGTATATCAGATTATTATTATTATTATTATTTATAAGGCGCCAACAGGTTCCATAGCGCTGTACAACAGGTGGACTAACAGACATGTATTTGTAACCAGACAAGTTGGATGCACAGGAACAGAGGGAGTGGGGTAAAGTGACACAAAAGGTAAGGGTAGGGTAGGGTAGAAAAGTAGGTTGTTTGGATAGTATTCATTGATGGCCTAGTGTTTTGATAACAGTTTCTGGAGAGGAATCAGGGTGCGGGGAGGGAAAGCTGTTCATTTTAATTGATATGCTTTCCTAAAAAAGTAAGTTTTCAAAGATTTCTTTGAAGTAGTAGAGATTGGGTGAAAGTCTAACAGATGCATGTACAGCACAGTTACTGGTCAAACCATTAGGTTTGGCACAGAAAGTTGGGGGCAGCACCCCAAGAATCCTTGCACTGTAACTACTGCACTACGCTGTAGTGGTTTTGGTGCTGAGAGTTTCCTTAAGTTATTTACGTTGATTTCAGCCACCCAAATGTCTGTCACTGTATCACTCTATATCTATTCAATAGGAGCACAGATTAAAATAAATCATTTAGGTTACGTGCTTGTGTGTTAAATTGCATGTTTATGTGTAAACTGTTTCTTTTTTGTTGCCATAATTTTTTTGAGATGGTTCTCATAGTGTATCAATATTTAGGTAAATTTAGCTTCTCATAGTATTTAAGTAGAGTGTACTTCTTCTGCTTTCTTATGTGAATGTTCACTAAATAGTTCAGACTATTTTAAAAATGCAAACAGACCAACATATTTTTAGATTATTTTGTTTTACTTTTCATGATTTTTTTTTTTGCGCTCTTGGACTTAAATCGCTTATTCACATTACTCTCGGTAGTCCTTATATATAGAATATGTGTTTAAATCAGTTGATACCTACTCCAATCATCATAGTCACTACAGTCTGCTGTAGTGGTTTGAGGCTCCTTTCAATGCTTGTGACATGCTTCCAGAAGTTGATACAGTCACCATTCATTGGCTGAAAGCATCAGCTTGACCGCTCTCAGAAAATTGTCACACTGTGCATGAAATTTTGCACAAATCTGACATAGTCTCCAGAACTCTAGTTCCAGGATGGCTAATGACTTTCCAATGACCTCTGGCAACTTCATGTATGCAGCATTTCATACTGAAAGGCTGGACATACAGACTCAAGGCACCAGAACCACTTAAAATCACTGGACTAATCATAATGCTTGGAGTAATCCTTAAACTCCAGCTCTACTGCTTACTGTGAATGGTTGGTTGTTTTTTTTTTTGTAAACCTGACTTGACACGTTCACTTTAAGCTTTAACATCTCCCTAGACAAGAAATATATAATTAATCATAGTGCTTACGGATGTTCATTAAATACTTACCACCTCTCCATCATACAAACTGGACTCTACTTACACTAATATATCACTTAATTCATTGGCAGCACATCCATGTCCTTGAGTGACATCTGTCATACCTATTCTATTCTCCTCCAGCTATCTTGATACTCTTACTATAGGACTATCATAGCAATACTGCCCATGCGCTTTGGTTACTATGATGAATCACCAAGCATGCCAACAAATGATCTTTATATATCACTGTTTATAAAATCTGAGTTTGCTGGCAGGTCTGGTTATTTTGTTTAATATTTAGTTCTTTGTACCATGTCAGATGCACTTAAAACTCCCAAAACCTATCAATTCAGCAAGATATATGTAGCTATAATTAAATCTATTTATCTGAGTATTAATTTATCTTCTGAACAATTGATCCAACAGTGCTGGAGAGGGGAGCAAAGACGTAGAAATGGAAAGTGAGAAATCAGAGGATGAGTCTGAAGAAGAAGTAGAAGAAATTAAAGAAGAGCATGAACCATTCCCTGATGCGTTTTCAGAAGAAATTCCACAAAAATTACTGAAGTCGCAAGAAAAAGAACTGCGAAGGATACGAAAGACTGATTACAGCTGGATATCTGCTTTGTAGGACTGTGGCATTTCCATTTGCACCCTTTAATTTTATGCTGATCTTAACTTGTTCTTCTGTGACTGAAATTATATATCTTTTACAAAAATCAACTGCCCTGTGCCTTTTTGATTAATTCAGAAAGCAGTACCTTTTTTCATCATGTTGGACATACCAACTTATTTGTGAAATAAGAGCATTGTTCACTTGTGGATTCCTCAGAGTTGACATCCTTATCATTCTTTGATTTTTTTACATTGCATAGTTAATAGAAGAGATTTTGTGCTGCTGTCAGGTTGCAATGTCTGTTGCATTTCATTCAGTCTCACAAAACAATTATCCTTATCTAAGGGGAATCTTGTGCACAAAGTCTGCTAGAATGTGCAAGTGAAGGTCTTTAACAACCACCTTCATCAGTATGTTCAGCTTTTTTTTGCCTAAGTTTAGACAGGAAAATAGGATCCTTGACAATTGTATTGGCAAAGTCACTGCAAATAAGTAGTTGGATATCTATATACAGATCAGCAACTGTATTGGAGCCAGAAACATTCTGGTTAATTAGATATTTAGATGAGACTAGTGCAGAATAACGTATTCAGGAAATTGTCGCATCAATGATTGTTTCAAAGTATTCAGTTCAGGAGAGCAGTAAGTATTGTTCATATGCTGTGTTATAGAATAATATTCAACACTGGCATCTAAGTTATAGTTTTATTATATAAAAGCTTAAAGGTAATCTTTTAGATGAAAAGCAAATTAATTAAACATAGTTTTACATATGTGCATTTATTACATATTTGAGTACAGAAATGTAGCACTCTATATTGGTGTAAATGCATATGGTCTGCAGCTCAAATAAGGAGAATAAATTCTCAATCGCATGACTAAAAAAACATGGAGGTAGTATCATTAGTAGGTAGAAGAGCCTATTGTAAACCACAAAATGGTCCTCAAAAAACATGTTCTAATGAAATGTATAGAGCTGGTGTTATTGTATAATACGTTTCAGTTAGCTGCATGAACTTTAGCATTCATTTCATCACATATATGGAGTCTGAGACTGACTCCGTAGTTATACATCTGAAACTGTAAGGCTGGCAAATTTGTTTCACTTGGTTCCTCTGGATACATTGTAGCAGCCAGTTCCAACTACACCAAGTAGAGCTAAATGTTAAAAAGGGTACTTGTAAGCGCCAAATTAACTAATGCACTTGCTTTCCTTTCTCACAGTTTTTTGAATGGTGAACTAATTATAAAATATCAATAGTTAAAAACAGAAAAAAATCAGCGCTTGTTCAATACTGATATAGTCAAAAGGCAGCTTAATCACCAAGTTTTTCTTGTCCGGTATGGGGTAGGATAAAACCGGAAAAGAAGGTGTAGCGCCTGAAGAGTCCTTTAGGGACTGTATGTAACGACAAAAAAGACTGATAGTGCAGTAAGGATCACTATAGGGTCAGGAACACAAACATGTATTCCTGACCTTATAGTGCTAAACCCACCATTTAGGTGGCCTGCTCCCCTGTAAAAGTTTTAAACGCACCTTATTTCTAGTGCCGCGCGGGTCCACCGACGTGGTCTCCGCCCCCTTTGTGACATCAAAATTGCAGATTTGTAGCCAATCCAATGCTTTCCCATGGAAAGCATTGGATTGGCTAAAATTGGCACAGGGCAGGGCCAAATGCAGTTTTAGCCAATCAGGACCTCCTTGAGGAAAATTCAGCATCCCCATGCAGAGCGTGGGGACGCTGAACGCAGGGCCAAAGAGTCCAAAAGGCAAGCAGTTGAAATGCTATTTTGTTCCTTTAAAAGAGCATTGAATAAAATTCTGATGGTGAGTCACAATGGGCAACGTGAGATTGACATCCTTGAGGTCTAATTTGAATAGACAATGAACAGCTTACTTTTTGAAATGGTGATATTGCATATAAGTGTTGAGAGGCTGCAAATTGATCATGAGCCCTACACCACCTCCTTTCTTTGGAATGGGAAACAGATTGCTGAGGAAACCTAGAGTGTGAAAATTAATATATTTTTTAGCCCCTTCGGCCACCAATTTGATAGTTAAAGTTGTGCAGGAGTACAGACAATATACGAAGGATATTTATCCTAATCCATAGAGTCAATGAGCATAAATGGGGATCTGTTGTTATGCCTTTGACAGAGTCTCGAGGTACAATTTAGGAATAAATCCCATGCTGTTATATAGGAATTATACAGCTAAAATACCCCCTTTTTTTTTTTTTTTTAAATCTGACCCCTTTGAGGTTAAAAACGGTACTAGACAGGGTTGTCCTTTGGCACCCCTGCTATATATTCTTACGATTGAACCTCTAGCCAGTATGATTAGACAGAATAGTAATATAAAGGGGATTGTCATATAACAGAGAAATTAAGGTCTTCCTCTTTGCAGACGACGTCGTTCTTCCCTTAACTGGCCCATTAGTCTCAATTCCATTGGTACTAGAAACTATATCTTCCTATAGTAGTTTTTCAAACTACAAGATTAAAATGAAAAAAACCCCACACATTTTAGCCTCTGTTTTTAACTAAGGCAAAGAAAGGACGTCTATCTTTGCATTTTTTTATTTTGTATGGGAAAGGGACAATATTGACTATTTGGGAATTAAATTATCCTTTGATATTGATAAGATGATACAAACGAATTATGATACTTTATTAAAGGAAATGCAACAACAGATTGAAAAATGGAGGAAGACAATATGTTGTTAACCTACTCTTTTGTACAAATCAGGTTTGTCAATAATTCTTGTGAATTGTTATACCCTATTAATAAATAATTTAAATATTAAAAAAAGAAAATTGTGCGGGAGGAGACAAAATCAAGCCAATAACCCTGGACCGCTTGAAGAACCCAACTGTCTAAAACAGGGGTTCTCAACCCAGTCCTCGGGACCCCCTACCAGTCCAGGATTTGGGGATTACCTGGGTGTGTCTAAGGTGTTTAGAAAAAGGGGGAAAAAAACACCTTAGACTCTAAGGTGTTTTTTTTTTTCTTTTTCTAAACACCTTAGACACACCCAGGTAATCCCTAAACCCTGGACTGGTAGGGGGTCCTGAGGACTAACGTTGAGAACCCCTGGTCTAAAGTAACACATGGAAAAAATGAGCCTTTCTTCCATCCACTTTCTGTATGGAAAAAGGGGGATTGTGAGCAGTTTGTCCAGATGAGGGAATTAATGACCCCTTTCACATCAGTAGTAGGAGGGCTATACATTTGGTGCTAAGGACCAAAATTATTGTGCTTATACCCCCACCTTGCTCCCTATTAATCACAGTAATATTTATATACACAGTTCGTATTTTAGATTAAAGAGAAAAAGAGAGTTGGGGGCACACCCAGAACATGCATTTTTCAGCAGTGGTGCTGCCGTAGAGACCAACATTTATAAAATATACAGATAAGGGAACAGCGCACATATTAAAATACAGTTTTAAATTGTATAAGGCTACTTAAAATAACCTATCTCAGCAAACAAATATGGGGATTCAGTTCCACCCTATGGCCATATTATATGTTAAGCCTATCACTACGTCACAGTACCCAAATATCAGTGGGTCCTACACTAAATCCAATGTGGAACATAAATTGAATAAGGTAAAGTGTATTTTAATAGTCTGTAGCAAGAGCATTGTGAATATATAAAATGCAAAATTAATGTGATAAAAACACAATGCAAAAAAAATGCAGTGTCAAAACTAAACTATTTTAGATTAAAGGCATGCAGGGCTTTAGGTTTTACACACTTGTCCACTGTAAAATGCCTAAACCTTTTTAATTGTCAATATTCAATTCAAGAATAGACGTTGCTCAGTTAAGGATTTTCTAGTGAAGTAAAGAGATTTGCTAGCACACCAACTTCATTCATTTTTTTTTCGATCTCTTTGCAATGTATTATTGCGATCTTTTATAATCCTTGTTTAAGCCTGTTCTTCGAATTTAGTAAATGCGCTATCAAGGCATGTCTTTAAGCTTGTTTTACTCACAAAATGATTCTAAGAACTAAAGATCAGGATGTCAAATTTTAAAACATAAACCTTTTATTTAAGAAATATAAAATTTACAGTGCAGGGTGAAGGGTGCTGCAAAAACGTCAATAAAGTTTACACTAATATAACATCTGACAATAATCTCCCCTGGTCTAGAATTTTTTTAATCAAGCTTCTGTGTCGATTAATAAAGATACTTTCTATAAAGGTTTCATGTACATGCACTGTTGCCTAGACCTACAGGTCAACTGCAAACTCAACTTGAAAAAACATTTCCATCATAACTATTTTATTGCAGTCTGTTCATATTCCATAAACCTCATCCAGCAGTAGATTAGGGGCTAAGTAGTTTATCCTTCCTATGTGATGAGTGGAACTGTTCTGTAAATTCTCATACCACGGCTGTTCACAAATCGCACGGTTCATTATGTAGGGTACAGGATTGTGTGTAATGAACCACAAAGCCATGGGCTCTGTGCCTGGAGGAGAGCGCTCAGACCCCATGACATTTTTAACAAAATTAAACAGAGTTTTGGCTGCTTGATTGAAACCAGTGAGCTGAGAGTTAGTGCAGGGTATTCTGTGCACCATTATCTGTATACTCCCCTAAATATGTTTTTAGAGTGAGTGTTCAAACTGAACTTGTGAAAAATGAACATATGCAGCTTTCGATACTGTTGACCACCCATTTTTCCGTCACAACCGTGACCTAAGTGACACCGCTTTCTCCTGGCTCTCTTCCTACCTGTCTAACCACTTCTTCAGTGTCTCCATTGTTTCCTCTCCTTTTCCTTCTGTACCGCTCTCTATTTACACTGCCTCTCTTGGTGACCTAAAAACATCCTAGAGCGTTCAATATTACCCATATGCTGATAAAACCTAGAGAACCTAGAAAACATTCTTCACCTGATCTTTCTCCACATCCGCTGGATTGTGTCACTGACTGCCTATTCTCTCCCTCTAACTGGTTATATTCACGATTCCAAAAATTTAACTTTTCAAAGACTAAACTCTTTGCTACCTCTAAGACTATGTCTGTGCCCATTTTGTTTCAGGTCAACGGAGCTACCTGCAGGCACATTGTCTTGGTCTACTCCTTTCTTCACCATTTATATAAATCAACAAATCCTGTTGCTTTCACCTTAAAAACATTTCTCGTGTTCACCTGTTTCTCAATCAGGATGTGACAAAAATGTTTGTACATGCTCTTATTATTTCCCACCTTGATTACTGTAACCCTCCTCTTTTTGAAAAGTGTCCATAATGAATGCCTGTGCTAGATTCATCTATCTTATGTCCCACAGCTCTCAAACCTCATCACTTTGTCAGTCTCTACATTTGTTTTCTGTCTCATTTAGCATTTGGTTCAAAGTTCTCATACTTACTTACAAAGCTCTCCATTGGAGTTGGAGATTTGTTTCAAACTGAACCGCTTCTCATTTGAGTTTGGACCGAGTCATTTTCAAATCACCATGTGGCAAAATCTTAAGCGAACTGATTTGCGTAACCTGTAAATGTTTGGTTTAGTTCCTTAGTCCAAGGAGTGAAGAGTCCAATAAAGGAGAAAAAAAGGAAATTAGAAAAATAGGCACTTTGACTTCAGCTACTGAGTGAGACAGACAATGCAGTGAAATGGTGCCATGTGTTTACCCTTGATGTGCCAATAATGGAGTGGCAGATATCTTGGCTCATTGATTCTAGTGTGAGACTAGCTTCAGTTTTTTTTTGGTTTTTTGTTGAGTGTGTTCAGACCGGTTGTGCTGTGCAAGTGTGTGAACTCTTAATGTCAAACGCAAAAATGTTAAAGTAAATCACTAACTAGTTTCGCAACACAAACACCCATTTTTGTTGAATGAAGTTGTATTTTAAACAAATACACAATTATTTATATATCTCAACTTGTGTATTCTAATCCTAAAATGAAGTGCTCATCTTTGGTAAGGACTTCAGTGCAGCACATTGCAGAGGAGAGTGTGGAGAGGGCAGGCAACAGCCCAGTATTTCCTCCGGTAGCTAGTGTGCACTAGCCTCCTGCATCTTGTCCATTATCTCCATGTCCATTGGTATCTACTGTAGAATCACCTCATCCAACGAAGAAAGTTGAGAGTACAAGTAGCTCTCCCACTATTAATGTTAACCAATATCACCAATACCGCCACAATCAACATCACGTGTATCAGCATCGTCAACATTTCTATTAGCATTACTTCTTGTGTACATGCAAATGTTGTGTCAGCTTCCACTGCTAACAATGGCATTTGGACAGGACACCTCATCATTATGTGAATGAAGAAAAAACAAAAAGTTCCTTTGGCCAAGCTGCTATTACCAGTGCCACTTTCATTAATTGACTCAGATGAATGTGATTCTGAGCCACAGCTTGTGTTTTGGAAATAAACACAGTGAGTGGTTGCAGTTTACTGCACAAGTAAGCCCTACCTATGCTGAGTTTGGCAGATCTTTTTTTAGAAAAAAAAAATATATATTTCACCTTCAGACCTCCAAAAAAACTAAATAAATTCAAAACTAAAATTAAATAAACGACTCCTGCTGTTGATTTCTTTTTTTTCAAATGCCTTTCATTGTGGTTTTGCCCCTTCTGATTGAGTCCTGCAGTGCCTGTTACCAGGGCCATCAGGGCTTGAGAATCGTGACAGTTGTCCTGGGGACCCAGACTCCTTGCTTCTGCTCTTGTAATCCTCTGTGTGCCCTGTGCCCTATACCTCTGCCCCCCTCCATAAAACATATGCCCTTGCTGGTCCAGGACACTCTAATCTCCACCTCCGGCACTGTCTTTTGTGAGCCATGGCTGTAAAACAATGCCTCGTGTTGCCATGACAACGCTCCATGCCAGGCTTGCGACAGAAGGGGAGAGGACTAGCTGTCGGAGGGGGCAAACAGAGACTCCTGGACCCCATCTTTGCTGTGCAACCAGCTCTGCCACCAGGCCATCTGGGAATCTAGTGTCCTTCCTCCCTGGCTCAGGTCACTACACAAACCCACACACAGCATTCACTGCACAGACACTACATTCACTACATGCACAATGCATGCTCAACACACACACTGCATACACTGTAAACAAACACTGCATCAACTTTACTTATCCTTCTGTGTGGCCTTGGGGGAGAGGGCAGACTCAGGGGGGGGAGGGATCACAATTTCTAAAGGCAGCCCTGTCTGTTACCTTCCCAGATGCAGTTGAGATAAGATGATAGGGTACTATTTCTTTCCACATTGAAGGACAGTCAATTATTTTTCTAAAGAAAAAGTTTTCCCACACATTGAGTCTGTAGAGCAAGCATGTCAAACTTGCGGCCATGTTAAGGCAGAGTGCAATGTGGGGAGAGCAGGTGCCTACTCTGCTAAAATGTACCCGGCCAGGGACAGAGGTCCCTGGAGGCAGCGAGGGAGCTCAGTCTTCCTGCTCCTCACTGCTCCCTCGCGTGTGCCATCTGTATTAATGACGTCATATTCCGGCACACGGCATCACTAAAATGCGTGTGTGAGGGAGCAGTGAGGAGCAGATAGGAGACCTCCCGAGAGAAGATCCCCACACCAGCTCCCAAAGGAAGGGAACAATAAATAAAATTATGTGAGTGTGTGCAAGAATGTGTAAATGTGAGTGAGTTTGTGTGTGTTATCTTTCAGTGTCTGTGTGCTTGTCAATCAGTGAGTGTGTGTTGGTCACTGTTGCAATGGCCACGGCTGGACAGTGGAGGACCTGGAGGTGCACGGAGGCATGCAACGCCACGTCACATTCCGATGTGATGTCAATGTGCTTCACCTTCACAGGTTTTCAAGGAGTAGCGGGAGGATCCGCTTTAGCACAAGGTGCAGACGGCGGCAATCGGAGAATATCAGAGGCTGGACTTCGGAGTTGCATACTGGCAGTGGCAATGTGAGTGGAGTCTGCTTGTTGGCTAATGTTTTTTTTTTGTTTTTTTTTAAAGGACTATGATTTTGTATAGAAAGGGGGGACTGGGTTTTAATAGAGGGGGATGCTGGTTATTTTTTATACTGTACTTTTCAAAACAAACCTACATTTCTATGAAAAAAATAATTATTTATTTTAAAAAAAACAAGCAACTTTTTTATTCACTTCAATTGCCAGATTTTAGAATAATTTTAGACATTTTGAAACAACTTTGAAGGGGAAAGTGAGATGGCAATTGGATATCAGCTAGCAGATTATATAGTATTGAAGTAGTAAAGTAAAGAGCAGGATAGCCCAACTTGGACAGATTTAATTTGACGAAGGGTATTTTCTCCACCATCTGTGGGGACATTTGTGAGTATTGTGGATTCAGAAAGCCCCCTGTAACAGAAAACAATGTATATTACTTTCTACAAGGATTAAGTTATTCTTAAATCATCCACTATTCCTTCCCAATGTGGTTTGTGACAGCTTGTTGCCAAGCTCCATCAGAATAAAACCAATCTGGTTGTATGTCTCATTATGTGTACCGAGAGTTGGTATCATGGAAAAAGTACTTCCATGAGATTCTGTAAAGGTGAAGCAGTATCAACCTGTGCATTTCGAAACCAGGCAGTATCTACTATTTCAAGGGCATATC